AGGGCGGTGAACTCTTCGATAGGATCGTCTCCAAAGGGCATTACACTGAGCGCGCGGCTGCGGACGTGACCAAGACCATTATCGAGATTTGCAAGGTATATGAACTTCACTCTCTCCCAAATTCTTCTACCTCGATTCTACGGAAAATTTCCGAATATTATTATATTTTGGGGAAATAGACTCAAATTCAATTGTTGCTGATTTCTTTAAAATGGTGACGTTTATGTGCTATTTACATTTGTGAAAACGTATATCTGCCTCATGTCTGTCGTCGATTTATCAATTTAATTTAAGAATAGCTTCTGTATTTGGTAGCAGAGCAACACGATGGCCTAATTGGATTTACTGGAATGGTGTTGGGAAACTCTGGCTTTGGAAATAGGATTTTGCAATGTATATATTATTCTTCATGCTTTATACAGCTCCATTTCATGGAGTAATTGTAGCTCTTCGTGTGGTTGTAACTGAAGATCAATGTTCTTTTGAACACCATATACGCGAAGAATTGATGGTATCATTTACTTGGAGCATTTTCCTTTTCTGTCTCAGGTATGCCATGAAAATGGAGTTATCCACAGGGACTTGAAACCTGAGAATTTCTTGTTCGCAGATGAAAGTGAAAACTCCCGACTGAAGGCAATTGATTTTGGTCTTTCCATATTTTTCGAACCTGGTATGCTTACAGTTTTCTCTAGAACTTGGCCATAATTCTGACTGCAGGAACCAAGTTTCTTCTCATATCTTTATTAACCTTGAAGGCCTGATGCTCTTTATTTAACGAAGAACTTGTTTCTCAACTTCCTCGATCTCGTTTGGTAGATCAGAGATTCAGTGAAATTGTTGGAAGTCCGTATTACATGGCACCGGAGGTCCTAAGACGCAGCTATGGGCCGGAAATTGATGTATGGAGCGCTGGGGTGATTCTTTATATCTTGCTTTGTGGAGTTCCTCCTTTCTGGGCAGGTGAGTCTCTCCTTGAGTGGCATCTTGTAGGTTGTTTATTGTCTAAATCTTTGAAAGTTGGATAATAAATTATTTCAGGCATGCTAATGCTGTATTGGGGATTATAACTTGTGCAGAATCTGAGGAAGGCATTGCTCATGCTATTGTTCGGGGTAATATAGATTTTGAGAGGGACCCTTGGCCAAAGGTTTCTCAGGAAGCAAAAGAACTTGTGATGGGGATGCTCGATCCAAATCCTTACAGTCGGATGACTGTTGAAGAAGTTCTTGGTATGGACTCTTATTCCTAATTCATTTCAGTAATATCTTTGTTTGCTTTGTTTTCCCCAAATCCCGAGCAAAGTATCTCTAGGTTTTAAGAAATTTCAGTAGAAGGTATATGAAATGCAGGACGTGATAGCACAGACATATTGTCAAACGAATACTAAAATTATGTCCAAATATTTCTGGTGTGGCTTGGGTTTAACCACTATTTTCTCCTATAAGTTTATTTGTTTTGTTATCTACTTTCTATAAATGTGTTCCTGTTTCTTTCCATAAACATGGAACTCATGCAGAACTTAAAAACAAAGAGTTAATAGCTTAAATAATGAATCAAATTATCTGATCATCTTGTTTTATTACATGAAGAGCATCCTTGGATACAAAACAAAAACCAGGCTCGTAATATCCCCCTGGGTGAAAATGTCGGCATAGGGATTAAGCAATTCACTTTGATGAATAAGTTCAAGAAGAAAGTACTTAGAGTAAGTATCGAACATACATTATTTAAGTTAAATTGTCTCTTCAATAGCTTTGTTAGTTGATGAATATCCTTGACTGTATCCAGGTTGTGGCCGATCACTTGTCAGATGAGCAAATGGATGGGATCAGACGAATGTTCCATATGATGGACACAGATAAAAATGGAGATTTAACTTTTGAGGAGTTGAAGAATGGTCTGCATATGATTGGACATTCTCTTTCCGACCCTGATGTGCAGATGTTGATGGAAGCTGTAAGTTTCTTCCCAATATAAACCTCAAAAGATTGTTGGAGAGTAACAAAAAAACACACACACACACACATACACAATTTTCTAGACTTTTTCTTGTCCAAATATCTTAGATTTTTTTCGTAGTCTAACCAAATCGAAAGCAACTATGTCCTCAAAAGTCCAAAAATTGTTCTGTAAGCCTAAGATATTTTCAGAGTATGTTAACATTTGAACAAGTCATTTTCATGCGTTATGACTTAGATTTTCTCTATAAATATCCCATTTGTTAAATAATGAGTATCTTTATTCATGGATCTTTTGGTTCGAGAAATTCAATTAAGATGGAACCATTTCTTCTAACCCTTTCTTATATTTGAAAAGCGGTGAACTGTCAGTAAAATATGATGTATTATATAACCAATGTTTGATATCAAAAATATTCTACCACTCTAACGAGCTTTCTTTTTCTGTGAACAAGGCGGATATGGATGGAAATGGAACATTAAGTTGTGAGGAGTTTGCAACAATGTCCATTCACCTCAGAAAGATGAGCACGGATGAGCTTCTGACTCAAGCGTTCAGATTCTTTGACAAGGACCAAAATGGATACATTGAATATGATGAACTCAAAGAAGCCTTGATGGACGACAATGAGAAGGTGATCCAAGATATCATTTCTGATGCTGACATAGATAAGGTATCTATCTCTAAATATGACTCTTTTTTTATTTCATTTTGCTAATGAGTAACAAGATTTATACGAAAATTCATCTCAAACTTACTCGATACTCATTTTATTGGATTATTGTGTTGCTTGCTTGATAGGATGGCCGAATCAGTTACAATGAGTTCAAGGCAATGTTAACCACAGGGATGGATTGGAAAATGGCTTCTCGGCAGTATTCAAGAGCAATGCTTCATGCGCTTAGCAAAAAATTGTTCAAAGAAAAATCAGTGGCAGAATGCAAAGGTAGATAGTTTCTGAGTTCAACTCGGAATCAATCACACTCCAAAAGGAAAAGAAATTGATAGAATGTGCACCCTCAATTTTCGTGGATGCAAACAAGTCTTTTTTGGGGTTTCTAGCTCATTCAGCCCATTTTTGGAGAATACAACAAAAAGGAGTAAATGTGCTTAATATAAATTTAGAGTTCTTGGAAATCCATTTTTCTGAGACAGGCTTGTACGTGTTTCATTTTCGGATGAGTTTTTGAATGTGGTTAAACTTCTTATTTAATTACCCTCACTTCAACAACATTTTTTTTTTCCAAAATCTTAAATCATCATATCCAGTTTGTTCGTGAAAATATCTCCTAATTGTTCTCAAGTCTTAACATATCTTGCGAACATCAAATTTTGTAATTTCTCACGTACAAAATAATATTTATCTTCAATTTTAGCTCTTTCATGAAATACTTGATTAGATATAGTATAGAGAGCGGTTGATTTCCAATTAATTTAGAAGACGTTTTCACACAAGTTCACATACAAATCATGTCATTGTTCTATTATCTAATTCAACATTCAAATATGACATCATCATACTTTTTTTCAAAAAAAAATATAAAGATGAAATAATTAAAGAAATGCTTTGTTGGAAAACAAATGAGGAGTCAAAGAGATTGACTTTATTTAATCAAATAATATTAATTTAATTATAGAAGAAAAAAAAACATGTTCATAAAAATAAAACGACCATATGAACTACATTTTCTTCCACTTTCCACTCTTATTTTCAACATTCCTACATATATTTTTCTTTTCAACCAAACACAAAAAGTAAGCCATTATTTTAACTTTTCCAAATGATATTCATTTTAATTTTTTTCAATTAAACTTATAATATCATGTATTTCTTTATTTTAATATCTCACTATTTAAAAATTTACTGAAAAAAAAATCTACCATTCAACTAGTTACATTATAATCTCACTCAGAGTTAAAAATTCCACCCTAAATATGGTTGAACTAAAAAATTTATTATAAAAGAATGATATCAAGAATTATTATTATTATTTTTTTAATTGGACTATAAAACCCATTTTAAAAATGGAATAAAAAAGCAAAAAATAAAAGGAAGAAATTAAAAAAGGTTGATCAATTTCCAAATTTGATGGCCGGAATTAGTAAGTATTCAATTCAAAGTTTAGGTTTTAATGGAAGTCCATGCTCCATCCCATTTCGTATCAAAACTCTTAAAATTTCAACGTTTCCTATTCCTTGGTCTAAATCAAAGCCCCTCTCTTTCACTATAAAAACCCCTCTAAATCTTATCACATAAATGCAAATCAAATCACACATCCCTACCCAAACCCAAATCAACATTCATCCTACATTGATGTTTCAAAAGGTTGCCACCCTTTTTGTTCTTTCGGTTGTGTTTGGCCTTGTTTTGAGCCAAATTAGTATGGTTGATGCAGCACGTTTGCTCTCAAGAGTTTCAAATTACGATGTTCATGACGTTGATCCATATTCGATGGTTTATCAGAAAGCAAAGGAATCTGTCTCTTGTTGGCTTGGGATGTTATCTTCTGGACCGAGTCCTAGTGGCCCGGGTCACTAGAGCTTATATATAAAACAAACTTCATCATCAATAATGAATTGTTTTTTCTTTTCTTGTTTTCTCATACACTTATGTTGTTTCAATCACACAAAAGTAGAAGTAAATAAAGTTTTTTTTATTTTTTTATTTCTTAGTTAATATAATAACGTACCATTATCATTTTAGTATAATGTTGTGATTATTTCCACTTTATATAACCCAACCCTTGAAAAAAAAAAAAGACTCGGAGATAACATCTTCAATGAAATGAGTTTAGATATAAAAGTTAAAGAGACCCTAAGACCAATCTTATTCAAACCTTGTTAGTTGAAAAAGTTCAACATTCTTATCCGAAAGTATTTTGTAGGATCAAGAATGAAATAAACTTAAGAGTTAAATGAGATTCGAACCTAAATTGAGACTAAAATAGAATAAATATGATATTATTTGGATCAAAATAGACTTTAAACCGAAATAGAAAAAAAAAAAAAAAAAAAAAAAAAAAAAAACAAGAATGTTCTTCCTTCTAAATAGAAATTTCATTGTGCACAATAATATTAATGTAACATTCATTTCTCATAATCTTTCAGAAACACTAACAAAAAATAGAAACTCTTCCAAACAAAATCTCTTTGTAAGATTGACAACCAACCTCTTTTCCCAAGCTTGTTGGAATCTCTCCTACTGACCCTTACAAACTTGCTTCAATCTTCAAACCTTCTCTTCTTAACTATTTTGACTATTTTTCTCGTCTTGATACCCGGATGCCCTGCCGCTCCTCCCGATTAGATATGGCTCCGGCTGGGAACTACCATTTTGAATATCTAAACCTTGAAAGGAACGAGCTGCAAAAAATTCCGCTCCAGACCTTGCAGTTCCTTCAATTAGCGAGTTTCGGTTATCGCGTATCTGGAGAGCTTTCTCTGTTGCACTTACTAGAGCGCAAGCTTCATTTTCTTCCTCAACATTTTCTGTTAAGAAAACAGATTCAGAACAATCTCAGAATCAAAACTGTCATGCTGGAAGTTAATACAGTGAAGTTATGGACATTGTAACTGAGGAAGGCTTATGGCGCGTATGCTCAAACATCTGATCCCGTTTAAAAAGAAAATTTTAGAAAATGTTGGCAGAAAGATTTTTGAAAGCAAATTTGAAAGTAAGAATGAGAGAAGATTTTAAAGGAAACGTTGTACAACTATTCTCTTGCAGCATGAAAACATAAGGACGTGAAGGGTCAGTACCTTGGGAATCATAATCTTCCACATATCTGCCTTGCAAGAATGAATATCTCGCTTCATCTGATCGGTTTCCTTCGTTAGGTATTGGGAAATTAATCAAATCCTGAAATTCCATAATGTAGGCGCCTGTCCATTGACTTCCTCTGAACAATTCAAATATTCATCCTTCAATTAAGATCCCAATGAAATTTAAAGAAAAGATCTAAAATATTCACTATTTATTCTCCATCTGAAGAAAATGATGGTATCTCCAATTGATCGTTCTATTGATATAATCATAGACATCCCTCAGTTCAATTTTAGAAGTTCACATAGATTCACCAGCATATTGGAAAATGAAATGGCATATTCAACAATAGGATTTTCGAGTCGTGGTTTTTAAATGGAGTGTCAGCGAGGATACTTCCCTGCAAGGCTATTTCCTAACTAAGACATAGGTTTTTCAAACCAATTGGTATAGTAATTGTGACCCATTTCAGAATGCGGGTGGCCATCATTTTACTTTACGTAGCCCGGGGCGAATTCTTCAACAACTTGACAATATTTCTATGCATGATTGAACAGCTTGCCATAAGATCATAAAAAGAAGTACGGTTCCAACTTGACTTCATGACGACATGAATCGATTTTGGCACGGAGTTAACAGAACTAAGACAGCTCACGTTACATGATCTCGAGAAATTAAAGATGAAAGAAGACAGAGATTAGAAATACCTGGTGAAAGCTAGTGTGGCTTCAAATGGAGTAATGACTGGAGCAAGATACTCCTTGCTATCCATAAGTGCAGTTTGGGCACAAGAAACATATATGAAAACACCACACTGCAAAGAAATGCTAAGGAATCAGACTACCAGTAAAGCAAATTAAGTCGCATGAGTCTGACAAAAATACCTCTGGGAAGTTGGCAAGTTTTGCAGGATTGGGCCTCCCCATAACAAGAGTATAAGCCTTCTTCCCTGCTCCAGTGATCAGCTCTTTCATCTGATGAATGATATGGAGGTAACCAGCTACATAAATCATCACCAAATTAAAACGCCTTTTAAAATTCACAAATTAATACGATACAACAATACTCCTCGGGTATCAACAAAGAAAGATCCAATATGCTGTAAACAGATTAAGAAGATGAGCATGTCCAGTTTTTGTTTGCAGATGATTTCCGTCAGTTTTTGTCAATACATACCTAAACCAAGAGTACCAACCAAAATTCCAACAATGCCAGCATCCTTTGCCTTCTCCACCAAGTAATATCTGAGTGTCACATAATAAGATGAAGTAAATAAAACAAAACACGATGACAGTGTCCAGTTTCATTATCCCAAAAATAAAAAGAAAAAAAACGAACGCATTGTATGACTGGAGAATGTAATCTCAACAAAAGAAGGCATGCTATCTTACAAATATATTGACAAAAATCAGTTTAAAGGGAACAAACGTGGATAATGAATGAGTTTACGGCGAATATTACCTGCGCTTGAGGATCCTTCTTTGCTGAGATACATCAGTAACCAAGCAACTTTCTTTTGCATCGTATCTGACTAAAATTAATAACGATGAAGTTAAGACAAGATGTGAGCTTAAAATTATGGGTTAGCTTATTATAACAATCGAAATTGCTCAAAATGGATAATCGAATTGAGATGTTGTCATAAGAAATGGAAACACAAGAACATTTAACGTTGTAGCTAATAAAATAAATTCAATGTAGAACATTACAATTTACGCACCTATCTCACAGCCATTGAATGTCAGAACCACATTTGCGAAGGCTGAATTTTCAGAACCAATCCAGAAAATTGAGCAGTCCTCCATTCTTCGCTCTCTATGTAAATCCCAAAACAAGCTTCCAATGTGATGTCTGGTTCCAGCAATGTTCTCAGAACTCTCACTTTCAGCATTGGTAACTTGTTCCCCACCTCTGGCAACATTTTCATTATGGGAGGACGGATCCAAACTTGAACATTTAACATCTGCAAAATGTACTTCCAATTCTGACGTCAGACCGCTTGTCTGAAATGAATCTAATAGTGCTTGTCTAATATCATCCATTGAATGCGCATATTCCAACCCAAAAAGAACCTGTTCAAGGAGTTAGATAAGCTGTCAAACTCCAGTGCAGCGTTATTAGAGTTTAGAGTATAAGCTTCAAAGTGAAAAGAAAAAAAGAAAAAAAAAAAAAGCACTAAAGAAAAAGAAATGCAATCTCAGTCGAAGTAAATAGTCCGACTGAATTATGATTTGATTAAGAAATAAATAGCTTTGTTTCTCGGAAAAAAAAAAAAATAGTACATTTATTGGGGGGAAAGGGTGAATAGCTACATATTTTCATGTCTGAGATTCCTACATTTTAAAAATTCCTGTATGTGTGCATCTGATATTTGATATAGAAATCTACTGACAGAAATATACACACACAAACAGTGGATGAACAGGATCTATCTAGTAGTTTGATTTCCATAAGTTTGAGGCCAGTGCTGGACCTAATATGGAATATATATCAGGTTCAATTATCTACAATTTGCAGATAGACCATCTAGTAAATTCTTACAGTGGCGTTTTCAAAATCACTATATTTCTTCTTCAAAATTCAAATGATTGACATAGTAAATTTTCTTGCTCATCTTTTTTCTGTAATAACTTTAGCCTTGTTGGTATAAGTAATAACTTTCATTTCCTTTAAGCATTTCTTAGTTATCTCATCCTATCTTCAGGATCGCTCTCATTCAGATGTGGTCTTGGTTCATTCATGTACCCCTCCTTTACTCGGATGTCACAAGAATGGTCCTAACGAGAAGAAGACCTCAAATAAGCAAGCATGTAGAGTTCAAACTCTATTTCCCTTTGCATTAAGCCATTAATTGATAATCCTATAGCCAAGAACCACATGGAAGCAACTTTGAATTACCCAAAACAAACCTAATTGTTACAGAAAAAGTTAACAGAATAGTCTTTTCGGGCTAAAGCGCGGAGTGCAAAGAAAGGGCATGGTTTTCTTTTTGAGGCACACAAAAGGTGTTTCAAATTACACTGATGGTGTCTTTTCCAATGAAATTCAAATCAAAGACTCATCAGCCATCCAAATGTCATTTTAATGGGACTAGATTTCATGTTTGTAACCTCTTTGAAATTAGGAGTTTCCGAAAAGATGAAGTTTTTGATATTGTAGTCTCCATCGGCCCCTCCCGACCCTCTTTTCACAACAAAGGGAGATTTCTTCAGCAAGTTAGGTTCTTAGCTATTTTGTGGTATTTTTAGTTAGAAAGACACGAGAGTGTTCTTATTGATGTGGAGGAGTTTAGCCCATTTTATAACCTTTACTTTGATTCTCAAGCTAGTTTCTTTTTTTTTTTTTTTTTTTTTTTTTGGTAAGAAACCTAACTTTCATTGAAAAAAATGAAAAAATACAAAAATATACAAAAAAAAAACCCAAAAGAATTAGAGTAGAACACTAACTACAAAAAGGGGCTCTAATCCAAAAGAACAAGACCAAAAATGCCTAGTGACTGAGACCCACAAGGAAGCCTAAGAAACCAAAGCTTATGTTTTTGTATAGTATGGTTTTTTTAAATCGTTCCCTCATTCTTCTTAATGGATTTCATATAGTTATCCCGAAAAAAGATAAAAAATAAGTACAGTGATTTAAGAACACAAATGCGCACCAAAACAGGCTTTCCATTGGACGAACTGTAGTGAGATAATGTTTTGGCACAAGTGGAGACATCAATTGGATCCTTTCCGAAAACAAAAAATGCTGGAAGAGTTGTTGTCCTGAAAGATACCAAAAGTGTATTGTAACACTGCTAATAGTAAACCAGCAATAACTGTAAGTGATGGATCTCATAAGCTATATGCAGTCTGAAAAATTGGATCATACAAATAATAGCACGCACGGTAGGCTACAACTTTACTATCTATCTGTTGATCTACCAATCATTTAGTAGGAAACTAAATGTTAATATTCAAATTAAAGTTAAACTAAGAAATCAACCAAGAACATCGAACACGGAGGAATAAATAAGAAACAATGCAAGCAATAATCTGTAATCCACAACTCCTTATCATAAGGAAAGCTAAGCATACAAACGCCTTAGTAGACCATATGGCTTAAAATCACGACCAGCACCCAATCACTTCTCCATTTTTACTGAAGGTGCACTTATGATCAGACAAATAAGCACCACCCTATTTGCTCAATCATGAGGAACGGGGAACACCAATCATCCAAAAGATTAACATAACCATGTAGATGCCTCTTATGTGATGATTGATAATATAAAATACTTTATTTCATAATACAACCTCCAAGGATTATAGTATGGCAGTGAATATCTAATATTTTTATACCATGTCAATGATATTTCAGACATTTGAAACATTACACTGATAGTTCAAAGAATTAATTCAAATGCACCTATGAATTATTTAATATGACAGAAAACACCTCCAAAATCCACTTCTCAAGGATAACAAGTTTTTTAGTTATTTAGTTTCTCACTCTAAAGTGCAAAATCAACAACAGCGCAAACACTTGCGCAAATTAGCAAAAACAAGTCAATAACTTAGGATGCTGATTTCTAAGGGGACTGCAAGGTGAGAAGTTAATAAAAACCTTGCGAAGAAAGCATAACATATCCATAGTAGATCGGTACTCACGGGCTCAGACATGTATGTCCATAGTGAATGACACAATCAGCATTAGCGTGGGCTGCCCCAACCTCATCAACGCAACAGCTACCGTAAGTCGTATCAGCCATTATGAACAACCTAACCTTATTTTCGCCATCGCTTTGGTTTGTATCATTAAGCGCACAGAGTCTTTTCCTTAAAGCACTGACCACTCTAGTTGAATCCTTCAAGAGCTCATCAGGAAACTAAAATTTCATAAATAAAAGAAATCAACAATTAAGTAGGAAATAATAATATAAAAATGGAGTTATGAGCATTTGAAGATCAAAATAACCAGACACGAGAAAATCCATGACACATATAACATTTATACATTCACAGCATCCGAACGGGAGCAAAAACTCGACTTGAATCAAACTCAAACCACAATATTTCGAAGAACACAAGACCGAAACTCTCCGTAGTTGGTTAATAAGGAGCAGATAAAAAAGTTGAAATCATTTCAAACCTGCAATACTTGTGGATTCGTAGTAATACCTGCAATGCGACTCTGGTAAAGTTCCGAGTGTGAATGTAGTCGGCGGTGCGGGAAATTTCGTAGTATGATTCTAACTCCATAGCGAAAGAAGAAGAAGTTGAAAGAGCAGATTCTCGTTCAGCAGCTGCCGACCATAAAAGAGAAGAAGATTCAGAGTTCAGAGATACGGCCGGTGAATCCTCGGTTCTCTCTCTCAGTTCTCGCAGAATTGGGCCGCCGTGAGGACTTCCTGCAACTCCAGCCAGCAATTTACTTGGTAGCTTTTCGAATTAAGGTTATTAAACATATAAATTTATTAAATTATTCATAATAATTAAAAAAAAAAAAAAAAAAAAAAACCTTTTTTAAAATTTATTTTTATTTCGATAAAATTTGTAATTTAATTAAAAAAAAGAAAACTACAGGAACCAAACCTCAATCGCTCGAGCCTCCCTCCATCATTTGCTCTCCCGCTCTTTGTCGCTCTTTGGGTCTCTTCGTTGGTAGCCGCACCGATCCTCCGTCTCAGGTATGTCGTTCGTTCTTATTGAAGCTAGAGAGCTTCAGTACAATGTACAATTTGGATATTACAGCTTCTTTTTAGATTCTCATGAGCTGATTCTTCCATTGTTGCTCTTTTCGGTGGAGGGTAGTAGAGATCGTCAAATTTTGATATTCGTTTTTCTTCTTAAGCTTCTAGTATCTTTCTTTTTGGATAACCTTATGTTTCCTTATTCATGGATTCTGTAAATCATTTGATGATTATTGATTTATTCGTTTAGATTTGAGCTCTTGGTTGTGTGAGTTAAGTTCGTATTCGTATATTTCTTTTTCATTTCTTTGATTGCTATTTGGGACTTGATTTTTTTAATCCCTTTTGCAGATATAAAGATGGCTTTACGAGGTGTATGGCAGCTTCAGAAGCTGATTGTCAGCTATTGTGATTGGGGTGGAAGCAGTAGGGGTATCAGGTTTGTTGGATTGCTGAACCATTATCTACTTGATTATTTCATTACTACTCAGATTTCAGTTCTTAACTGACGGAGGTTTAAATTTTGACCTCAAAATACTTTATATTTCCATGTTCAAGCATAATTATTTTATACTCATCTTGCTTTCTTTTAGCTTACTGGTTTGAGTTGGGTAAAAAGTTAAGGAAATTGCTTGGATTTTTTGAAATGGACTGTGCAAAGAAAAGGTGGGTTTTTTAGGACTAGGGTTCATGGAGAGTGCATAAGACCCTTACTCCTTTCACCACCCATTTTTTCTTTTACCTAAGGCTGAATTCCTTTATTAGTTTTATTTATTATTGTGAGATCCCACGTCGGTTGGAGAGGGGAACGAAACATTCTTTATAGTGTGGAAACATCAACCTAGTAGACGCAATTTAAAAATCTTGAGGGGAAGTCCTGAAGTAAAAGTCCAAAGAGAACAATATTTGCTAGCGGTGGGCTTGAGCCGTTACATTTACCTACCTTAAACCTAGAATATCAGATCATCCTAGTTTTCTAGGAATAAGCTCGATGCTTCTGTAGTTTTATTTTATTGTTGTTATAATTATTATCTAGCTTTTACAGTGAATCAAATACTGTTTCACATGTCCTGAATGATTTGTATCTTATCATTGAACTTTCAGGGCATTTATGGACTCGCAATTGCCAGATTTTAAGAAGAAAAACCCTCAGCTAAAAGTAGTTCGTGAACTCATTCGTGGGCAGCATCCACACTTGAAGGCCTTCTACAGTAATTCTCTCTCCCTCTCTCAGCTTCTTGCAGTTATAATTTAATAGTGTTTGAACATGGAATTTCCCATATTTCATTGCCTTCACAGAGAACAATAATCAACGGGTGGTATGTGTAAGGAATTTGGATGCGGAAGAAATACATTTACATGCAACGAGGCTAAGGAATGCACTGGGGCGAAAGGTCATAAAACTGAAGACAAGACATGTGACCAAAAATCCTAGTGTGCAAGGTACGTGGAAAACTGATGTAAGATTTTGAGGATGCTTCCTAAAGTGCCTGATTTTCTTTGGAGATTGTCTTTTTCCATCAAGATTATGAGATTCCTTAATATGACGTTGTTGAAACAAAACTTCTTTTTAGAGTAGCTTGAGTTTGTAGTTTGTAGTAGTCCAACGTAAACTTTTGAGGCTATTTTGTTCCAATTCTCTGAATACTCTCTCTGGAGAAAGTCTTTCCATGAAACATGCAACAATTGCGAACTTATCTTGAATTGATGAAGCAAAACAGGATTCTGAATTTATTTGTGAACATATTTATAGGTTGTTGAGATGTTAATTAAATGAGATCCAAGAGTAAATGATATGAACTTGGTTCATATCAGTAAATGCAGCAGCTAGTCCTTGTATGGTATTCTTGGTTGGGGTATTGTCCTTTTCTTTGCCATGTTATAATAATGAATGCAAGAGTTGTTTCATTTTAGATTGGTTATGTGGTTTTTTCCGGTCTTAAATGTCGATGAAAGGTTCGACCAAAATGGAGCGAAAACGGGAAGTTGGATGAAAAGAAGTGAAGGAAAGAATTACTAGAAGAAGGAAAAAAAAACTAGCAAACAATAAAAGAAAAAAGATCCTGTTAGGAATCACGAACTTTCACAATAATATTGTCCACTTTAAGCATAAACTCTCATGACTTTACTTTTGGTTTGCCCAAAGGGTCTCATGTCAATGGAGAGATTAAAGTTCGGCCATTGATAAAGAGGAATCACCTAGCCTAGAATTAGACTCAACTAACCTTAGGTAAATAGATTGCTTTTAATAGCATAGTGTTCTTAGTTTCAGGGACTGCTTTATCTACACTTTGAGCAAATGTTAGACACATATCTTTGAGTATCAATGATGGTGACTACATTTGCTGGCATGAGATGTTTGGCTGTAGAATTGAGTCTTTGTGAATGGGCAGAGCCAGGTACTCTTATTTTACGACGGTAGGGATGATTGCTTCTATTACTAACTAGAAAAACACCATATGCAAGCTTTTTCTTTTAATAGCCGGCCAAATGACTACATGATCATCCCTTTAATTAGCCAACGTGGGACCCCCTCCCAACAATCCTTCTCAACTCTAGGTTGTCAACAACGGGAAAAAACCATCGAAAATGAGAAGAAAAAAAAGCTCAAAAACCTCAAAATTGCTTTCCTATCATCCTACAGTTGCATGCTCTTCCAAGTAGCTTAAAAAAACCCCCACAAACAAAATGAGAGAAACCCCCATGTAAAACTTCTCTGCAGTGAAAAATTCTAAGATAAATGAAACACTAGAAGAATTAAGAAACCCCAATTTTGCATTTTTCTTTGATTATTCTTTTCAGCAACAAAAGATGAACTCATTCTCGCCTTTGGCACAAACGAGACTCTCCTCCCAGGCTGATTGGGCGCCCCTTCTTTTCCTCCCCGATCGATTGAATGTCCTGTCATTGTCCCTCTAGAAGAGAAAACTTGTGTCGAAGTACTTTTATTTTAGCATGTCATCGAGAATGAATGAGTTTCGAAAACATCTGTAAAAGGTATAATTGCATGTGGCTTGTTGAAGGCTGCAATGTGGGTTCCAGGAGTCCTTGAGAGTTCAATTGCAGCCACTCCTGGAACTCTTAGCCGATAGATAGATAACTCCTTTTGCATAAAAAAAAACTATATCTCACAAGTAGCCATCTGACAGGCAATAGGTTCATCGGAGCTGAATCGAATTGTGTAGTCGTGCAAGCAAAGCTCTTGGAGCTTGTTGGCAGTGGGCTGGATGTGGATGGCATGGGGGGCCATTCCAGATTGCCAAGAACTGGCAGAAAGTTTACGATGACGAAATTGTGTAAGAGAAGAAATGACGTGTAGAAGAAACTAGAAAACCCAAAAAGAAAAATTACCCAAAATCTCCAAAGCTGGCCATCGGAATCAGAGTCGGAATTGAAGATTATTGAAAGTAAATGAAATTCGTGGATGCAAGAAGAAGGATGATTGTTCGAAGTTAGGTGCATTTCAACCTAAATTTAATGCTATGTTTAATTAATTAGTCCTTACAATTTGACTTGTTAAGCAAATTCATCAAACCCACCAATTAAATTCATAATTTTCCACAATCCACAAAATTTTGAGTTACATATCATTAAACCTTTGATCAAAGTATTATCAGAACAAATCTTCCCTTAACGCACAAATTCAAGTCATTGGCATGAGACTCCTTGAATATGTTCCCAAGGACTTCCAACTTTCACAAATTCAAGACATTCATCACAAGGTGAAGAAGAACATTTTCCTGAAGTACCAAGAATTTGTGAGCATGGTAGCGGGCTTTCAATGATTGGTGCCTATCTAGTTCTAGGCAGGTAACAGATTGCTACTCTACCATGAATTTCTGATTTAGGATCATCAGACAACTCGTTTACAATATACATATTTCCACCATTTAATACAACCAAATACACTTCTGCGATATAAACTATGCCCCTCACCAGTGATAACTAGAATGGTGTGGCGATTCAGAGCTTGGAATCCGAAGATTCGGCTATTGGTTCGTAACAAATTCATTACAGTTTCCAAGCAGCAGCTAAATTATTTGATACAATTCAGCTACTTCAGAGGGAAAATTGTTATAAATTAGATATGAAGATAAGTAGTTACCTTTTTTACCAACCGTATGTAGCAACTCCAGATTCATTTGGATGCGGAGCATTGGTTTGTGGTCAATTGAATGGTGAGATGGTCTTCTCAAATTTGGGGGAGGTTGTCTTCACAGGAGCCCAAATATCTGCACCGTTGCTACGTGCAACTCCTGCAGTACAAGAGATGGGTACAAGACATAAACCTTTGTTCCTCAGCCCGTGGTTGTATGGCAACTCCATCTCCTAACAAAAACGAGTATAAACGTTGCAATAATATTCAGACAGGTTTTGCATTGAATTAAATAGATGAAGCAGTAAAAACGTTCAAAGTCACTAAATTTCATCCTCCCCAGAAGTTTGAAGATTAAAATTTTCTAGTTGCAAGACAAATATCGAGGTTTAAAGGAACACACTTTGTTAACATTAGTCTTTTTTTTTTTTTTTTCCCCGTCTCAGACGAGTGTTTTTATGGAAAGCCTTTTGTCAGATCATGAAACAAAAGGTCCAGCATAGGCTCACCTGCAACTGAACAGTGGGTGTGCTTTGGAGATATGGAGCACTCAATACCTGAAAGCACACCAAAATAATATAAGGGAATATACAACGAATCCTCTTATGTTCTCAACCATAGGCTATAAGACGAGAGAACCAAAACTAATTCGATCCTGTAGATTATGTTCCATCGCTGATGAGAGAGAGGAAATGACGGAAGAAAGGAACACAATGACTAAATACCTAGAAACTAAAAGAGGGATAGAAGAATAATCCAAAACAAAATCAGTGAGAGAGAGATATAGCCCATTCTGGAATCAAATTACACCATAAATATCAAATGAATTTATAACCACTAATTGATGCTCAGAGCACTAAAGGTCAGGAAAAATATGGATGTGAAAAGGAAATATATTCCCTGAACCACCAATTAGAAGGATTCATGGGGGAAAGAAGTATAATACAGGTCACAGAAAAGCTATATGCATGGCATGATAGCCACTCGTATTCGGTACCGAAATCAGAATTCAAAAGGAACCACAATCTTTAGGGAAGAGCATACCTTGACTTGCTCGTGAAGGAATTGAATATATTCCATGGCCTCAAGAAGAACAGATGCCGTATCTGTCTGCAGTGGAATTTTATAACTTGAATTCAAACAGGGCAATGATTTTAATACTAATAGCAAAATCGCAAAACATAGGTTATGGAATTCAAGAGCCAAAATCAAATTTGGCCCAGGTCATATGAACCCTGAAGTTTCAATATAAAAGGTCAATTTTTATGGTTATTTGATTTGTTCCAAACAGACCTTTCCGAATGGTGAAACAAGTTGTTGCAAGGCCATAATTCGTTCGCCCAGTTTGTCTTTCTTTTCCTATAGAAAGAGAATATTAGTACTTGGTAAAGAACAAAACAGGACGAAATGAGGATTAATCAAGTGGAAAGTAAAGAAATACAATTGGACCACCCAAAATGAGATAAGAAGGCCACCAAATCTTGTCTAATGGACGACCCAAAACTTAAACTTTATATATTACTAAGCATGATTAGTTATTAATATGATAGAGATCTTAATCTTCAATATGCTGCAATGTGAAGTTGGACCAATAACAGAAACCTTAGAGGAGATAGAAAAATCTGCCTTGCGACGCTTGGATGTAAGAGAAGTGAGGCTGCTCTCATCAACAGAGCATAGGTTCCTTTTCTGTTCCATCATTGTTTCTACCTCCACCACTTCTGCCTGGACAGAGATCAAATTCAATCAATCAAGATGCACAGCAGATAGGCAACAAACATCCAATGCAAGCGTCAAAATCCTATATTTCATGTAATAGAGTAACTTTATTTAGAGGAAGAACTCGCAAAGATATAGTAATAAGAAATTCGATCGATAAAAAAAACTCATACAACAACGAAAGTCAACTAAGAAAATCTGAAAGTATACAGATCTCCCACGGGTTCAAGACAGGCATATTTTTAAATGCCTGTGTTCATGTGAATACACATGAACACAAATTGTTTGACTTTTAAAACCAAATGAATTCTACGACCAAGAAATAACGACCCCACGAACTTCATAATCTTTAATTAAATGCCTTGAAATAATAGCATCCTCATAGATCAGACAAAACATCATTACTTTGGTACAGAACTTCAGATAGCATGCAGATAAGCATACCACATTAGATGATTAAATTATTAATAATATAATATTGATCTATTTGATCTACTATATTAACAACCACTATATAATAATACAAACTACTAGAGGACAAAAGGAATACAAGTAGACAGAAGTTCCATAGTCCAATGACGAACACCAATATATATTACCGAAAACAATCAGCACAATTAAGAATAAAAATATGAAAAGAGTAGGGTCAGAGGGCTACTATATTGAGATTAATAGGTTAATAACGATGATAGCAATATACATGCACAAAATAAACAAATACAAACATCTCTCATCAATTCATGCCCAAATTAAAACGATCTGGATGTTCCTTCTCACACTGACCATCTTGACCAAAAAACAGTTAAGAGCTGTGTCTTTATATCAAAATTTGGCTGTTTCGGTCAGTAGAAAGGGTAATACAGTGAACCTAACATCGCAAAAGGCAACTCAGGAGATGAACACACACACACAAAGTTGCAACTACGAGACACTGGAATAAGAAACAGGAGAACACCTGTAAGTTTTTTACTTTTTGAGAAAGGTAGAAGTAATGGGTTGGGTAATGGGAATCCAGAATGAGTATTTTAAACCAAACAGATGTTATAAATGAGACAGGGTGGGCCCAGATGAACAATTTTTTTTTTTTCTATTTTAAAACAAATACAGATAAACAAATCCACACCGCGCAGGGATTAAACTAAGAGAATATGTAATTTGCGTACAGAATTATCCTACCCCTTTTAATATCTTGAACACACCAATCAAAGGCAGAAAACCAAATACCATAACCAGATTAAGATAAACACTGTAACTAATAACACAATTAACAAAAATCCACTAATCAATAGTACAATCTTACACAGTTTAGCATGGAAACCGATAAAAAGAAGATAAAAACAAAAGTTGGTGTAAGTATTGACTACTCATGAACGAGATGACAAAACACAGTAATCCATCACAGTTCAAGAAGCAGCCGGAAAAAAAAGGAAGAACAATAACAGTAAAAAGAATGAGAAATCAACGAAACACACACCGGGAACTTAGCGGAAGCATTGCAAAGAGAGCTCGCAATCATCCCGACGAAGTATTAACCAAAAATCCCAATAATCCGTCCACCGGAGACGGAATGAACTACGGAAGATGTTCGATCAACAAGAGAGAGCTCCACAGCGCAGAATCCAATCGAAGAACAGAGGCGCGTTTTTTCTCGTTAATCTCCGGAGAGTGAAGAGGTAATCGCGTGTTGGAACAATTTAATCTCTGTACGAACGGAACCCGAAGATTGAGAAGACGATAACAGTGCAAAAACTGGCTGAAATCGAGCAATCAGCGATGAAGAAATCCACCATGGATGAGTTGCTATCAGAGAGGGAAGAAAGAAAGGAGTTCGAAAGTCTAGTGGGAAATGGAGGAGGGGAGTGAAGGCTTTCTGAAAGTGTTTAAATAAAGGAAAGAAAAAAAAAATAAATATATTTTGAAAATTGAATATATTACTTTTTTATAATATTTTTAGTAACTGACAGCTAATATCCAGCCGGTGGAAGTAAAAGGCAAAAGAAATCAAAATTTACCCAAGGTGAAATTCTTTTCTTTTTTCTATTCATTTTATATTAAAAAGTAAATTCCATTAAATCTCATTAACTCTAATTTATTAAGTTTAAAATATACATTTATTTCTTATAATTTCATTTAAATCCATAATTTCAATTATTTATTCTCTAAAAATTCTCGCAAATTTTTTTTTAATATTTTAATTATAAATTTTATTTCAAATTTAATAAATAAATACTCTATTCATATTTTATTTTTATTATAAATAAATAAAATAAAATTCTTGTCACGTCCAATTTTTTAATAAATAAGACTAATGTTTTATGTCTTAAAATTTTATAAGTTATTGTTCATTTATATTACATAAAATTGTTGAATATAAAAATATTGTATTTAATAAAAATAAATTAAATATTTGATATTTATAAAAACAATAAAGTGTCGAACATACTTACGAGACAATCATAATATATTGTCTCTCTCGAACTACCTTGTCGTTCGAGTTCCCATAATGTGGGGTATAACTGAATTTTATTTCATAACATTTATGTTTCTAACTCCTCATTTGTTCATATCTCGAAAATAATAGATTTATTAAATAAAATCAAAATTACGTTAAACACTCGAGTATGATTATTCTATGTAAACATAGTCTCATTCGCGCCTCTCGTGATTTAAAATATAGGATAATTCATTTACAACTATTTTATTAAATAGATATTATAAATAATTTGCAAATTTGTATTGCGTAATAATTTGATTTTATTTAATCATAGAAACGAAGAATTGTTATCATTATAAAATTAAAAAAAAAATATATATATATTTTTTAACCCAACAAAAAGAAATAAATAAATATATATATATATATAGTGAAGAGAGAGAAATTGTTGACTTTATTCTGTTTTGTTTGACAAATGAGAGAGACTGTTAAGTGATTTGACGTTTTATCTAATCAACCCGAGAAAATAGAACAGAAGAAGAAAAAGAGAGTAATAATAAAATTTTCTTTTTTTGTTAATTTTTATGTCTAATTAATTTATAAATATTTTAGAGGATTTGATCCAATTATAATTTTTTTAAATAATAAATAATTAATTAAATCATAAAAATTTAAGTCAATTAATTTAGAGAATGATTATGAATTTATAATACGAAAATACTACGATGCGAGGCTAAGTGGTTCGGCGGTTCGGAGGGCGGGAAAGGGTTAACGGGAGTGGGTCCCACATGTGGGTCCGTGAATCGTACGCAGACTTTGGGTGATGAAATAAAAGGATGATGATGACACGTGTGAGTAGGACCGACGTGGAACAATCTCTCTCCTCCCCAAAAGTCCACACGGTAGCCACGTGGGACCCACCCCCANCCCCCCCCCCCCCCCCCCCCCCCCGACGCGGTTTTGGTCTCAATCCAACTACTACTGCAAGTACCTGGTTCAGTACATTTCTAAGGACACCCCCCTCCCTCCTACACTCCCACCTGCCCTACACCTATTTTTTAATTTTATAAATTAATAATTATATTCATTTAAATTAAAAAATTTTAAAAAAAAATTCTGTTTTTTTCTTCGTAATTTCATAACATACGAACTCCACCGCTTGTACATATGGTCAATTTTAACTCGTTATGTATTGTCGTCAGTCTCGCATTTTAAAAACATATTGGAGAAAGGTTTCCATACCTTTGTATTATAATAAATGTTTCGTTTCCCTCTTCAGCCGATGTGAGATTTCACAAAAAAAAATAAAAAATTATATCGAACGTTCACCAAAACCATGTCTACACCCGACATGGCTAAAATGACCTAAAATATACTATAGATGAATGTGACTAGTTGTTAGTTCTTCGTACCCGAATTATATGCTATCAAAGCTGTGGTTGTTTGTTTTGCTTTTAGCATATAATATTGCTTTCTTACAAATTATTTTCAATGCATTTCCTCGCTTACGTTCTTTAAAATACTTTCTCTCAAACGTGACTGAGACTCTCGTTTATATGTCCAATACACTTTTCTCGAAATGGACTTAGAGCGAGTAAGTGGAAGAAAGGTCGTGTTTAGGTAATGATTGTCAAAGTTTGAAAGGGTCAACATCTCTCTTCACGGCTTTCAAAACCCTAATTTTGAAAGATAAATGCGCTTTCTTTTGTCAAAATCTCCACTTTTTATACGGAAAAAAAAAAAAAAACCCAAACTTTTTCGATTGCCATTTTCTTTATCGTTCACTTTACTTAATCTTTGCCTTTTTTTTAAAATTCGAACACACAAACTATTTATCTCGTGATCCATCAAACTAAAAAGTTTTTTTTTTATGTAAACCATATATTACAAATTATGATGTCACAATTATTAATTATTATGCCAATTTGAATATTATTCGACCGATCAAATTATTAATATTTTTTAATGGCTCGTAGGCTCGAATCTCTTTCTCATCGTTTGAATTATGATATTTTTTAATAATAATAATAATAATAGAGATGTGAAATTCAAAATATTAAATTGATTTATGAAGGAGGAACAGTTGAAATGATTGAATAACAATTGAAAAAGACATAAATTTGAATATTTGAACCATAAACAAACATAAACCTCTCAATAAAAATTAAAAAAAATGGGGAATTATTATTTTAATCAATTAGTTGAATTGGTGAACTTTTCTTTTTCCCTTTCCTGTCTCGACAAGATTTTGGCAATTGGATTACATTAATGATGTTTTATTATTTTTGTCGGTTAATCATGTTCTAATATATATTTTAAATTCATATTGGACGAAAGAATTCAAAGTCTAGGATAAAGACATTTAAAATCAACTGTGATATGAGTGCAAAACGCTGTTCATTTTACATTTGAAATTAATGAATTTCGTGTCGTCGAGTAAAGCAATCTCCCTTTTTGGACATGGACATGACTTGGTCAGATAGAATCAAGTTAAATGTTCGAATCCTCTCGATCCCACAAAAATAAGTTCGAAAGTAGACAGTTATTTACGAGAAGAGTAAACAACACTCCATCCCTGCTTGTTTAGGATATTAAAATCATACAAGTATTCCACAAAGACAATTGATCGTAGGAATCGACAAGATGCGTGTGTAAAGTAGCTCGTATATAACAAAAATTAATCACTTTACAAAGTAAATGTGCTGGTGGAACACTCAACTTACCTGTAAAAACAAAGGGTAAAATTCTGTACTTTCTTGAAGAAACAAGAGGACCATATGGAGATCACTTTTTGGTATATATTGATATGGTATGGCAATGGTAATGAGTATGAGGAGTTGCAAAAACACAGCACCAGTCTCCTAAGTTGAAAACTCAATATATTAAACGAAGCACTTATTCTAAGGATGAAACTCATTTGTACACTATATAAGTAAGCTCTGAATGAAGTGAGGGAATACCATTGTTCCAGTGTAATATGGAACCCAATCTGACTTTGGGAGAGGAAATCAAGTGCTCTGAGCTGGTGGTGGAGGAGGTGCAATTTTGTCATTTTCGCTGCCAGGAGCATTTGACTTCGTATATTCGAGGGCGACCTCTAACCTCAGCTCCACCGCTCGCTTGTACTGTAACAAGTTATCAACTTACCACTTAGAACAAAACTAATCTGAAACTAAGTGAATATGAAGTATTAGGAAGTGTAATCATCGAAGCCTGAACGAAACAAGAGCTAGAAAAAACGACGAAGGAAGGGCAGTTGAAACCGTAACGAAACGAGAAAATGCAAACCTCAAGCATTGCGCCAGCCTTTATTTTCGATTGCATCAGACACCATTTCTTAAAATGCACACCTGTTGTCCCATCAAACAAAGTCTCATTTGTAAGATTTGTCAAGACATAGAAAATTGCACATGATAGGGATGAGACTTTTCTTTATTTATTCTTTTTTTTCCTCATGATCGGTAGGGGGATTTTCATCTCTTATCCATTCTTTCCAGTCTTTTCGTTTTCCCCTAGGATAGGTTAGGAGGGGCAAGTATCACGACTGCGTTGAAGCTCGTACGTATACAAAGAGATGGGTGAAGGACAAAAGGACAATCACTAAATGTGTACAAGGAATGGTAAACATACCTGCTTTAATCTCAATGGAAGAAGAGTTCTCAGCATTTGTCTCCAACGACCACCTACAATGGAGCTGAAGCAGTAGATACAATTAACAGTGGCCAATTGCTAACATTGTACAAGAGTCCAACTAAGTTAACAAATAACTATGCCTTCAATGGAAAAAATGAAGCAAATTGGGCCATGTAGTAAAAAGCTCCAGTTATTCGGTTAGTTTCAGTAGGCTTATTAACCAGCCTATATATTTTGCTGCTGTAACCATTTCGAGGTGAACACTTGAGTGCATTAGTTTTATTCTTGTTTCGTGTTATCGGGACCGTAACAGTCACTTATAAACCATATGCTAATGGCTTAAACATCTAGTTGGAAAAAAACGAGCAAATGCGTAAGCAGCATAATCACTCATCATTAAAAACTAATGGGGACTTCTATACATAAAAGCAACGAAGATATCAAGAAACACCATAAAGAAGATATGATGGAGAACTTTATCACCTCAAAGTACGCCCCAAACGGCACATCATGCGCGTTTTGCACCATCTCAAACACCTAGAAGAAAGGAGATAAAACATATCAAGTAAAGCCAATTAGTGGCATATGCTTCTTTCCTGTTTTACATGACATATAAGTTACACTCACGAGCGTTGTCATATTTGTAACAATCTCATTTAGGAGAATCTTTCCTGTTTTACATGACATATAAGTTACACTCACGAGCGTTGTCATATTTGTAACAATCTCATTTAGGAGAATTGTAATATATGTCAACTAAAACGTAATGACAATGTTAGGAATCACGCCCTTAATTTAGTCATGTCAATAGAATCCTTAAGTGTCGAACAAAGAAATTGCTAGCCTCGAAGGTGTAGTCAGACTCATGTGTCAAACAAAGGTTGTATTTTGTTTGAGGGCTCCAGAGGAAGGAGTCGAGCCTCGATTAAGGGGAGGCTGTTCGAAGGCTACATAGATCTCAAGGGAGGCTCTATGGTATACTTTGTTCGAGGGGAGGATTGTTGAGGAATGTTGGGAGGGAATCCCATGTTGGTTAATTTAGGGAATAATCATTGGTTTATAGGTAAGGAATACATCTCCATTGGTATGAGGTCTTTTGGAGAAGCCCAAAGCAAAATCATGAAAGCTTATGCTCAAAGTGGACAATATCATACCACTGTGGAGAGTCGTTATTCCTAAAAGACAATGCTACCCTTCAACTATATGTTACCCTTCAATTTTTTGTCAAAGACCAAAATAACCGTGCTTAACACCAAAAAGAACTTTAGGCTAAATAATAATATTGAGAAAGAAAATAAGTAGCCTAGCATACCAGCTTAGTCTTATCTTCAGATAAAACTGCATGTTGATACTCTGTCATCGCTGTGTCTGGTGGACACATGGGGCTATGACACAGGGATCTATATGTAAGCTCTCTAACTTGACCTTCATATTCATCTGCGGCATGCCATTGTCCCATCTGAATATAGCAAAGGTAAATGTAAGGAATTAGACATTGTAAAACAACGAAATCTTTGTATCAATATGTCTAGTTGTTAGGATAGCTCAACAACGCACACACTCGATCAAGATGAACACAAAGAATAGGAGAGAGAAAATTCAAGGAGGAATATTGACTAGAGGTTTTATTGATGACTTTAGGTATGTACAACAAGAGAAAATATAGAGAATGAAGAACGTACATTTTGAGAGCACTGCCTAATGGGGTATATATATGGTTTCAATTTACTAAATATAACTTTCAAAGATTTAAACCTATGAGATATAATCTACCAAATATATCTCTACCATATATAGCTCTGATACCAATTGTTAGGATCGCTCAACAACGCACTTGATGATTAAGAAGTTCAACAGCAGCAGGAGGAAGAAGAGTCAGGATTGATGATTAAGTTCCAGTTTAGACAAGGAAAGAAACATGACCTATCAGCTTTCATTAAGAATGCCGGATTGATGACTTATAAGTAGTAGAACAAAAGGAAACACAATTACTTTGGCTTTGAAAGTTACAAGTTCCAAAAGAAAAGAGTGAGTTTATTTTAACTTACAACTAGATTTGTATCTTTTCGTCTTGCAACAAAAGCACTTGTGTAATTTGATCCATCACTCAACAAAATAGTAAAGAACTGCTCGGGAGTGCATGGGAAAACACCCTGAAGAAGAAATGCAATAAAAGATTGAGCTCATTGTAAGATAATGGTTTTCTAGGTCTAAAGGGAAAAAAAAGTGATGCTTACGTTGTGTATGCTAGTAAGGACCTCCTCTTTAATGAAAGCCTGAGTATTTTTATTTTTCGGCAAATTATCCGCGGCGATTTTCTCCGTACTTTCACTAACTCTCACCGAGCTACTATGTGCGCGTAGTGCTGACTCAGCCTTCTCCTGAAATAAGATAAACCAACAATTGTATCGTTCCATTAACTTCCACGTCCCAACAATTAACTTCCCTTACTACTAGACTTTACGAGAATTTAACAACAGTCATATTCATATGAATAAGACTTATTTACATGAATTACTTGAGTAACCTGCTTAGCGAGGGTCATGAGCCTTAAACCAAAAGAAAAAGTAAAATCTTCTCAGAAGCTGAAAGTACGAATCGTAACGTTACATATAAACTACTCCCAATGTTAAGTTTCATCGATACAATATGACAGTAACAACATTAATTACCAAAATAGTGGTCAGTACCATGTTTCATTCTAAGCTTGTCAGAACATATCCTCGAACGGGAAGACAAACTTAAGAAACATACCTTCTTCTCAGCTTCCAGCGTTTCACGGAAGTTCTTCACTGCACGCTGTAAAGCTCTAACTGTATGGTTCCTATTCCAAAATGATGCAAATTTATATCTGACTCTACCTGGAAATGGAATGAAAAAGTGCGGAAGGATATTAACGCATCTCGGTCCATCGAAATTTAGGAAAGAAAATCAACGTTTCATGTACTTAATCATTAAGGAAAGTTGAAAATTGACAAGCATGAGATATGTGGTTCCTTAAGTCATTTTTTGTGTTTTCTTGACAAGGTCCTGTCAAGCAGACAAAGGTACTGACCATCAGGACTTCCCAACGGAGGTACACCATGCCCACCAGCACCCATGCGAAGAATAATTGTTACAGCAGGATTGATAAATGCATGTTGAGTCCTTCGTACCTTCATAAATCAAAAGATCCGTCACATATGCACAAGAAATATCACAAGAGAATAGCAAAATTAGTGTGAAGAGAGAAAGGAGATAGAAAATACTTCATCAATGTCTTCTAGTGGTATTATCACCTGTGAAGAAAAAAGGAAATAAACGTAATATGAAACAATAAATCTAATTAAAAATATATTTGATTTAATGCAAGTAAATGCCAACAAACACAGAAATTCAGCATTCAAAACATTCCTAACCTTCATTTGCTTGGAGAAGATGTTAGAGTGGAAGCAGATGTGCCAAGCTGAGACATACATACGACCGTGATACAAGAATGATCTCTCAAGAGCACACGAAAAACTATGCTCGACTACCTGAAGGAACCTTAGGTATGCTAAGAATTAATAGCAGAAACTCTATATGTTTTAGAAGTAATTTTGAAAATAAATAGAATATCAGTATCAATCATTTCTAAAGCAATGGAGGTTCCAAGAAACTAGCCTCATCAGGTAGAAGCTCAAAGATTGTCTGAAGAGGCCCTGGCTTTTGATGAACCACTGTCAGCTCTGGTTTGTCTAAAGAAATTCTTCTTCGAGCATTTGCTCCAGCATAACCATTAATTGCGCTGAAGAACAGTCACTAAAATCCATAAATACAAAGTTCATATAATTGTAATATTTTCTTAAAAAAACACCATTTGTTAGTAACACATCTAGAAGAATATCATTCAAGAATCAATATTAACACTGTTGGAATTCGACCCAAAAGAAGCTGTCGTAAGACCCACTATTAACATATTTTCATTACTTCTCGATAAATAATTCCCTTCTTTCTTCGTATTAATTTTTTTGACATATTAGTTTCCCTCCTGATGTGCTCTCGGAATCTACTTTCGAGTAGTAAACACATAAAAAAGTTGTGTGAAAATGTATCAAATCCAAGATGATAACCCAACAGAATTACAAAATCCTTGGAGACAAAAGCCAAAAAGAAACATTACAATTGAATTAGCTTATTTCTCTCAAGCCAAAGGCCACATAGAACTACAAAAAAGCTAGGACGCCACGGTTTCGCATAAAAAAGACCCTTGTCATGAAATGGTGGATGCAAAAGGACCTCTTCTACCATAAGAAATGTCAATGCAATAAATTTGACACCCATTTGAAATATGGCACTGCTTTTCATTCCCAAACAAATGATCAAGCTGAAGTAACTAATAGAATTGCACAAAATTTAACACAGAATTGTGTTTGCCTAGATTGGAATTTTGCTATCAACAGCATACAGAATGGATCAAGAGGTAAAATTCCTTTTGAGGTTAATATACTAGTCCTCCTAGACTTTGTTTGATCTTATTAATCAATCTAGTTCAACAGATATTTTGATCCGGACAATCTCATTGTTATATTAAAATAACCTAAACTAATCCACAGATGTTGACAACTAGAAACAAGAACTTAATAATGTTTAATTGGTTTATGGCAATAGAGTTCATGATAGCCTTTCCAATTTTAAGCAATACAAATTTAAAACCAGAGACTGCAATGCATCAAGTAAAATTTAACAAGGCATGTCCTACACGTAAGAAAATAGATATCAACAAGACCCGATAACTCAAAAGATTAGTAACTCAGAACCTTCCAACTCATAGCCATAGACAATAGTTTCTTTTGTGGGCTTGTTTTTTTGGTAAACCACTTGGTCTCATGTAAATGTCGAAGTTACAGAAATTCAAAATAATAATAATAGTTAAAGTACAAAAGGTACCTTCCGCCATTGCCTTGCAATTTTAAAGTTTTAATGTGGAGACAGACCTAAGAAGTTCATATGCAGATTTAATCAGTCTTCTTCTTTAAGGAAGGGACATTATGCAGACTGGAAAAGAGAAAATAAGAAATAAAAAGAAGCAAAAAAATTATGAATGAGCACCTGCCCGGAAGTGCTATCTAATGTGTACCATACAGCACCTGTGTGGCCTTCACTTTCAACCGTAACAGTAACTGAACCAAGAACAGCACTTTTCCAAACTATATCCCAATCATAAATTGTAACATTAATCTGTTAGATGAGGGAAAAAAGTTATATAAGTGGCATGAAAATTACAAAGACAACATTGAACTTTGACAGAAACAATGGAAGCTAGTATGTATTTCACTTCATTAGCTATATAACGCAGGATTTCATTAGCACTATAATGCAGCAAATCCTGCATCAAGTGTCCACTGAGTTAGTTTGCAGTTTGTTTAATAAGCATTCTCTGAAGTTCCAGAAATTAGAAAAGATCAAGGGGGTGGTGGCAAAAGGGTAGGACAGGGTCAGTAAGAAGCAATCGTTGGGTTGGACTTCAATATCTAGGACAGACATGAGCTGAGTGTAACACTAAAAATGTGATCTAAACTAGGTCTCAAGCCTAGTAGTCAAGGGGTCAGGCAAAACTTATCGAGCCATTGGCACAGGTTTATAATTTTATATTATTAATAGATAGTTTCTATTAAGCCAAAGAAAAACGTTGGAAAAAAATATATGTATATTTGGACAGGATACCTGGGCAGGAAGCTCATCGACGGAAAAATCGAACTCCTCCCCCCACATGGGATTCCTTGAACCAGGAATCATTGAACTGCACCAAGCATGAAGTACTTTAATTCAAGCAGTGAAGGAAAAGGAGGCGACATTAAATATACAATTTTGACTGTAGATTAGTACAAAAGTTTTTATAAAACTACAATAAGAAAGATGGGAACAAAGTGGACATACAAATATTAAAAGCACTTGAACTCTGAATTTTTTTCGACACACAAATGTAGTATTCATTAAACTTTCCTCATTTATCAAATAAGGCACACGTCCCCATTAAACGATCCAACAATCAAGTAAGGCACACGTCCCCATTAAACGATCAATCATACTCAAAGGTTATAATTACAGAAAAGAATAAACATGAACAAAACCTGAAGCGCTTTTCTGTACCACAGGTAATAATAGCATAAGGATCAGAAGTGCCATTTAAGTTTGCAGCAATAAGATTCTTGGCAGCCAACAATTCCAACTGAAAAAACCAAACACGCCATCTAATTGAAATTTACAAAAAGTGAAGCTGCAAATAATTGAGGCCAAAAGTACAAGTTTCGATTTGAATACTCGACAGTCTTCATACACAGAATAAAAACCAGAGAAAAGTATCTAAATACCTTAATTAGATAAGCAGAATTAGTCTGAAGGTCTCTCAAATGGCCAGGAGGAATCTACAAAATAATTGCAAAACTGCACGTCAAAAGAGTTGCATATTACTCCATGAAAAAGAAATCTATCTCGGATTCTCTAACACAAGCAATGTAACATAGCTACACATCAGCTAAATGCTTAATTTTTATCAGTTTTGTCAAGAATCACGACCCTCCAGAATAGTATGATATTGTCCACTTTGAGCATAAGCTCCCATGGTTTTGCTTTTGGCTTCCCCAAAAGAACTCATACCAATGGAGATGTATTTCTTATTTATAAATCCATGGTCAACCCATTAATTAGCCAATGTGGGACTCATATTCCGAAAAAAAGTAGTTACTAATCCAGACAAAAACAAGTTCCAGTGTTCCACATTCTTAGTAGCAGAATTCATAAGTATATTTATACTTTAGCAGTTTTATCTGCAAACAATATTTAATAAACATGAAATCAGAAAATAACACCTAATGAAGGCAGAAAGTATCAAATCTCACGCCCAAATTTGTTATCATCACTGAGAAATACATCAAACCATAATGGAAAACAAAAGAAATAGGCTCCGTAAGCATTTTTAATGGCATCAGGAACTATAATTTCAAAATTAGGAAAGAATTCCCCAAGTCCAATCACAAAACGACAATTAAAAACAAAACACGCAGACAGTTTAAACAAGAAGCTAGAATTTGAACTGCTAGATAAATTGCTTAAACCCCAAGGTTTGTTTATAGGATCGTATCAGCAGAAACGCAAAGAAGTAAAAGTTTAGAATCAGAAATCAATTCCTAAACCAAACATAAAAAAATATGAACACAAACACATCGAGCTGTCCTATGAAGTAGCGAAGAAGAAAAAAACAGTAGAATTCCCCAAAAAAGAAACACTACAAATCACCGTTCAAACGCAAATCCAAAACCCAGGAAATCAATTCCAAGACAAATTGAGAAAAACAAAAGTTAGTTAAACAAGGCACCAACCTTGTCCTTGGCGTCAATAGAATCCCCAGAATTGTCAAGAACAGAAGGATCACCATCAAACAAGGAGCTCCGGTAGGCGAAAAACCAGTAAGCGAAGATCACGAAAAGGGAAGTGGCGAGTGTGATCTTGATTTCCAACCAGGAAGGGAGGAGGAAATCGAGGGCCATAGGGATCACCATTTGGGGCCTGAATTCGGAGTGGAGGAGAATTGAAGAAGTCATAGCAAATGTCGAGGAAGAACTGCTGCTGCTGAGGTAGTCCTGGAAGGGCTGGGAAAGGTCATCCGTGTGTTCCAATGAAAGAAATTGGAACCGGCATTTCTTTTCACGTCGAACCAACCTCCTTTTTTCTTTTTATTTTTTCTTTTTCTTTTTATTTTCTTTTTTCTTTATAGAGATGGTCAAAGTTGGACCGTTGGAGGAAGACCAAACATTTAACCGCTGTGTGACGATATTGCCCTTGCCGGCGCCATATAATTCTGATGGTTGTGAGAGGAAATGGCGGTAATTTTGGTGAAGAGAGAAGGGTGTTTCGGGTAGAAAGGAACAGAATTGTGATTATCGCCTGTGGAGCGAGATTGGTAGTTAGTTCAATACTCCACTTTGACATGGACACCACGGCCATAGTTATTGTCGTTGTTGTTTTTTTTTTTTTTTTTTTTTTTAATAATATTTTAACGAGCGTAATTATATTATCGAAATTTCTTAACAAATATTTTTGCGTTTCTAATTGCATTTAATAGATTTTCAAGAATATTATATTTAATAAATTTTCATTTTAAAAATGGAGAAGTCAACTTTATTGTAATAAAATAATTTTGCAAGGAAATTAACTATTTAATTAAAACTTTCAAGTAATCCTTTTTTTTTAAAAAAAAAAAAAAAAAAAACTTTTATAAAACATTTTCAAAATATCCATAATAATAATAATAAGGTTTGAAAAGAAGTTGTTGGTAATAAAGTAATTTTCAGAATTATTTATTTATTTGCATTTTTCCGATAAATTTGAGTCAACTGGAATTAAAAATAATATGGTTGACTTGGAAGATAAGAACAAGCAACATAGTTATAATCCCCAGAAAGAAGGAAAGAAGGATCAAAGTTGAAGACAAAATAGAAAAAAACAAAAATCAATTTTTGACTAATTCTTCTTCATTCACTTTCTATACAAATCTCTACTTTCTTGCATCAATACCCAAACCCCAAAGTTTTGTAAACGAGACTTGTTTCATTCACATCTTCGACAACTACACATTTTCTCTAAAGCCTTCCATCCCGGACCCGAGCAAGGCGACATAAACCTTCAACGAACAAGAGACGTGGCTAGCTTGAGATCTTTGAGAATTCAGTAATGCTAGGAAGATAATCAGGAGAGAAAAAGAGCAACTTCCCCATCCCAGACCCGCGCAAGTCGACATCAACCTTCAACAAACAAGGGACGAGGCTAGCTCGAGATCTTTGAGAATTCAGTAATGCTAGGAAGATAATCGGGAGAGAAAAAGAGCAACTTCCCCATCCCGGACCCGAGCAGGGCGACATGAACCTTCAACGAAGAAGGGACGAGGCTAGCTCGAGATCTTTGAGAATTCAGTAATGCTAGGAAGATAATCAGGAGAGAAAAAGAGGAAACATATTTCTACGCATTTTCGCTAAAGCCTTCCCCATCCCGGACCCGAGCAAGGCGACATAAACCTTCAACAAAGAAGGGACGAGGCCAGCTCGAGATCTTTGAGAATTCAGTAGCTGCTAATTACTTCTTCTATAATCAAAACAAATTTACCTCTAAAGGTATGGCTATGGCCTATGGGATACCAAGAGGAGGAAATGAAATGGAGCAACGTCCCCACCTCCAACAGTTTGCTCCCTTCAATTTAACAGAAACAATATGAACAGGATCCAGTTTGAAATATAATATTAACAAACACTTCTTCTCAGCCGGGTCGAGTCGAGAAGAAAGCCAACGGGCAGCGCAGCACGGCACCGAGGATATTAGAGCCCTCCACAACCACCATAAACAATAATTGCTAGTTTCAAACATCAGCGTCCTCTTCACATTAACTTCCAAGCTGCAGCCACAAAAGTACATGTGTTGATTGTTACAAACAAAAAAACACGAGCGAAAGACGAGATAGCGGTTGATTAAAACAACTAATTCGGAAGGGAGGTCATTGAGAGGTTAGCTAATCTTCTTAGTCCTATCACTCTACTAATGATGAAATGCAGGGCATTTATAAGTATTAACTAAAAAAGTGATTATGGTAAGAGAGACGAGTAATAAAATGCAGCATTGAATCATCCAGCTTTTACTTCAAGATCGAGCAAGAAACGTTGGTAACAAAGAAGACAATTAGACTCCATTTAGGAGTTATAAACAGCCCAAAAAACTCAGAGTTGCAGACCAGAAGAGAAACTTTTTCCTGTTTCTATTGGTACCAAAGTTGACATTCTCTAAAGATTCTATACATGTCCAACGACGTCGATGCAACGAACCATTCTCGAGTAGGAAGAACAGCCATACATTTTTTCAACTCAATTTCAAACTAGAGCAAACAAAACACTCTTTATGAGGGTGTGAAAACCTCTCCCTAGCACACATGTTTTAAAACCTTAAGGGAAAGCCCAGAAGGAAAAGCCCAAAGAGATAATATCTGTTAACGGTGCGCACCAAAACTCCCTGAACTCGACCCTCGTCAGAAGTTGTAGAGCATAGGCAGCTCGAGCATATTGATGGGTTCACAAGCTAAGTTGTGGAGTGTGAATGAAAATAGAACTCCACCCCTACAAGGCAAACAAGTTCGGTGGCCCTAACAGTAAAGTATAAGCCAAATAGAGGTTGGCATCAACACACTGTCTTTTCAACCCATGGCTTGACAAGCTTGTGGGCCTAAAAGAGGTTGACATCCTCACAATGACCTTTTCCAACGCCTTGACAAGTTTGGGCGGCCTAATAGTAAAGTATAAGGTAAATAAAGCCTTGACAAGTTTGGTGGGCTTAATAATAGTAAAGGATTGGGACGTCTGGAGGTAATTTTAAAGCCTGGTGAGCACAAAAGCAAGGAATGGGACCTGAACGTCCTGTTTATCAAGAAGAAAAATGTGAGATATTTCGTCTATGTCATCGTGCCTTGCACGACAAAGCTAATGTGAAATAGACACTTTTGGAAAGATCAGCCTGAACCGACCCTTCAAAAGAAACAAAATTGGTTTCAACGCTGTGATTGTACGGTTTCAATGTTAGAGGTCGTTTGGAAAGCTTTCTTCTCTCTGTTTTGGAAGAGAAAATCTTATTTCCCCAAATGGGTTGTTCTTGAATACAATGAACAATCATGGTTTATCTTCAGAAATTTGGACCTAAAAGCCATCCCATCGTTGATTCTTAAAAGAAAAAACAGAGTCCTAATAGACAAGTAGAATTTGAATCATGTGGGCAATTTGCTTTGAACAGATTCAACATATAATCTAAGATCCGAAACTAATGAATAAGGCATCAAAGAGAAATCAATAATCGTGAGAAAATCATCAAAACGAATCGGCGTACCTGGGATGTCCTTTCTGGGCTCAGGCTGAGCCGTAACGTAGTATAAGATCGAACGTCCGATCATGAAGAGACTCGAAACAATGGCGGCGACAAAGAAAAACATAACCAATCCAATAACCCAAGGCATCATCATGAAGCCGATGAAGAACGTAACCGATCCACAGAGCATCAGAGCCAGAGACATCCCTAGAAGAAGCGACGCAAACCCGGCCGGGGTCATCTGCGTCGGCAACACCGGTGAGTGATCGGAAAACGGGATTGACGACGGAGGCGATCGGAGAATATTCATGGCAAGAGAAGAAAGCTCGTAGAAAACACTCGATTGGGAATTCCGCTGCTGCTGCCGCCGCATCATAATTCTTCGGTCAAAAAATCTCCAAATCTCCAAAAGGGAAAATCCTCTCAACGTCGAGAACGAAAACCCAGAAACGCTTTTGTTGAATGATTCAAGGGAAATCGATCGATCTAAGGAACTTTATGGAACTGGGGGGGTCCGTGATTGGATTGGCAAGACTAAAACCCCTCAACAGCAACCACAACAGCGAGTGGATAAGTCTGATCAGCAAAACTTTTGTTTGTTTCTTAAGAATTCAACACACAACTAAATGCATTCACACACACACACAAACACACAGAACGGTGAAAACCCAACTCAAATATTGAACTAAAGAACCCTTTTCCGGTCACCCAGAAAGCTCCTGTTCACAATTTCCTCGAATTTCAGTTCGGATTGAGAGAAACAGAGTGAAGAAAGTGAATTGGGAATGGGATAAACATGAGGAAAAGATTAGGGATTGAAAAGGGGGCGGTGAAATGTGAGGGAAGATTTGGTGGGTTACACGTAATGGAGAGGAATTGGGAGTTGGGACCTTATCTTCAATGGATAACGACGGCCTTGAGATCGCCTAATAGCTTCTTGGCATATGGCGTACAGTTCTGATCTTTTGGGATTTGGCGCTGTTTGTGCGGCAATTTGGCGGAGGTTTTCTTTTGCCTCTCTAGGGGTGTGACGATTCTCCACCAAATAAGGATTTTTTTTTTTTTTTTTTTTTATAATGTTATTTATTCATATAATTACCTCAAAATAGTCAATTTTTTTTTCTAAATTTAATCGTGAAAATTTTCAAAATTCGAGAATTTTAATAATTTAATAATTAAATATGAGGGAAAAAAGCCCAAGGCATGTATGGGCCAGCCACGTGGCCCACCGTGGAGACCATGAGAAACTAGTCCGAGGACCAAAGTTGGTTTATTATTGAAATAGAATACAAAAATTCCCTTGAAAATATTATTCATAAGTTATTATCCATATTTATTACCTATTTAAAATTAATTAATTTAATGAACACGCGATGTTAATATTATAACAACAACGTCAACTATGGGATTAAATTAAATTTAATCATAAAGTTTATATTTATTTCGCATTTGAACTTTAAAAAAATATTTAATAGCTCTCAAAATTTTAAATTTTGTATATAATAAAAAAATTGAATAAGTTAAATTATTATATATAAATTTATAATTTATAATTAAATAAATTAAAAAAAATTATTTACCTGTCTCCTAAAAGTTTTTTTTTTAAAATTACATTTTTAGTCTATGAATTTTGAATATATTTTCAGTTTAATCTCTAATTTTCAAAAGGTTAACGTAAGTTCGTAAAAAATTCTGATAAACTTACATTAATTTGTTGTATTTTTAGAAAAAAAATTTAAAAAGTTTATTTGTTTATTTTCTAATTGAAGTACTAGATTTGTACGAGACGTAGGTAGACAATTACGTACATATATTTACGATAATAATTATTTATTTAATTTCTTTTAAAAAATTAACGGTAATTTTTTAAATACATGGTAAGAGTATTTTTTTTATATATATAAATTTCCAAAATTAATATTTTTAAAACAAATAGAGTATCCATACATAAAAAAAAGTAACTATAAATATTTTTTTAAAAAAAATATTTTTTAAAAAAACCTTAATAATATTATTGAAAAAATTGGAAAGTTTGTGTATTATTATTAATTTAACCTATTTTTTTAATTTGATGACCAAATTGGAAATATACTCGCGGAAAAAAAGTTATTTTTATCAAAGAACGATGCAGTCGATTCATACAGTCCAGGTATGTTCCGTCCTCCCATCAACAGCCTTGGAAGAACAGCATTTTGGGCATGCCGATTGCCCCATGCACAACTATTTTGTTAGGCTCCTTCAAATTCCTCATCAATTTCGATCAAACTGACGATACCGAGAAGAATCGGTAACCGAGAGACCGGTGGGGCGAGTTGAGCAATTTCTGTTGAAGAATCCGCTGCGATTTCGGTTGCCTCTGATCCGCGGCGGAAGGAAGAAAGATTTTCGATTGCTTTAAACCGCTCCAAAAGCATTCGATTCGAGTTGTTCTTTCCAAAGATTCTATTGAGGGATCTTTCTTCGTTTTCAGGGTTGCGCGGAGGAATATCTGGTCGTTGTTGCGTTATATGTGGTGTGAAATTCCATCGCCGAGCTTCGTCAATGAGGGTATTGGCCTTTTATCTCGATTTTCGTTTTGTTCCATATGAATGCAATGTGAATATTTTTTGTGTTTTCGTTTGCATTATGATATTTTTAGGTTGTCCTTTTTTTTTTTTTTTTGTTGTCGTGTTTAGGTGGTTAGATTATGTTTTGTTGCCTCCTTGTTGAGTATGTACCATTTTAATGTAACAATCTGTGTTAAGGGGCATGAAAATGTTACAAATTTTCTTCTCAATTCCTTGGTGGTTTTTGGTTTTGTTTCTCCCCCACCACACCCCAATGATTTTATCATAGCTTTATGCTTTTATATTATGTAATTCGATGTGTATGGCTTGCAGACAATATTTTTGTGCTTTACATAGTGAACCAAAGGTTGAAGGTAATGTTTCTTCTATGGCAGTTTGCTTCTCCATTGATGCTCAATGGCAGTGATATAAACACATTTCCTTTCGAAGTATGAGGAAACGTTTAGTCAGAGAGTCTAATACGTGGTTGCTGAAGTTTTTATAGTAAACAAAAAGGCCTGCTGTTTTAATAAGAAAACAAAGCAGGCAAGTGTGTAGAGGCAGGAATAATGGATTGTAATAAAGATGAGGCTGCACGGGCGAAAGAGAAAGCCGAGGAGAAATTTACAGCCAAGGACATTATGGGGGCTAAAAAACTTGCTTTGAAGGCACAAAATTTATTTCCAGGACTTGAGGGTATCTCTCAAATGTTAGCTACACTCGATGTCTATATTTCTGCTGAAAATAAGGTCAATGGAGAAGTAGATTGGTATGCGATGCTTGGTGTCGATCCACGAGCTGATGAGGAAACAGTCAGGAAACACTACAGGAAGCTAGCTCTTATTCTTCACCCTGATAAAAACAAGTCTATTGGAGCTGATGGGGCTTTTAAGCTTATTTCTCAGGCTTGGAGTATGCTGTCGGATAAAGCGAAAAGAGTGGTATATGACCAGAAGAGGAATGGTAGAGTCAACAGAACTGTTTCGACTTCGAGAGGGAACTCATCTTCACAATCTGGGAGAAATGGTTTTTACAATTTCACAAAAAATGCTCCTACGTCGAGTATGAAGGGACAGAAAAGTGCATCCCGACCAGATTATGCTTCAGCTTCATCTCAGAAACCAAGGCCAACAACCTTTTGGACTGTGTGCCATCGGTGCAAGATGCAGTATGAGTATCTCAGAATCTATCTAAATCATAATCTTCTTTGCCCAAACTGTCATGAGCCATTTTTTGCTATAGAAACACCACCACCCCCTTCAAATGGTGTGAAGTCTAATGGATGGGATTTTACTCAGCCAAATCATCAAAGTGGAAGTAAAACTGCATATAGTCGAGAGAAGAGTAATATAGCCTCATCATCATACACGGGAGCAGGTGAATCAAATCACTCTACACATAGCCAAAACACCTTTCAGTGGGGTCCCTTCTCAAGAACGGGTGGTGCTTCATCTGCTGCTCAAGCTGCAACTGTAGTTCAGCAGGCATATGAGAAAGTGAAAAGGGAACGTGAGGAGGCACAAGCTGCCAAAAGAGTGGAACGAAGAAAGCATCATACGTCTAAGAAGGCCCCTGGTGCTTCATCTTCAGGCTACTCTGGTGCTGTAAAAAGAAGAAGAGGTATAGATGACATTTCTTCTAGCTCCCATGCAAGAAATATAACCGATCAGTTGAAAGCTATGGAAAGGACTAAGCTGGTCAATCTGTCTGGTTGTACACAGGGTAATATAAAGGAAAATACCACACTCAAGAGCTCTCAGGATGTCTCTCTTAGTGAAATTCAGAATTTATTAATCGAGAAGGCCAAGAAGGAAATGAGGAAGATGTTATGTGAATTGAAGTCAACAATGTCAACTACTGCTATGGTCAAAGAGGGAAACGGGAATGAGAAGGTAAATAGGAAGAGAGAAACATCTCCTGTGAGTGGTGAAAAGCACAATAATGACGCATCAATCGAACTTCTGAATTCAAAGAGGGAATCACAGTCAGTGGTTGATTTTCCTAGCAATTCAAGTTCCAGTGATGCAGAAACAATGTTATTTGATGTCCCTGATTCGGATTTTCACAATTTTGATAGAGACCGTACTGAAAGCTCTTTCAGAGACAATCAGGTCTGGGCTGCTTATGACGATCATGATGGCATGCCTCGACGTTATGCCTGGATTCATAGTGTAGTATCTTTGAACCCGTTTAAAATGCAGATTCGTTGGCTAAACTCAATAATCGACTATGAATTGGGTGCACTGAGCTGGGTTAGCTCTGGTTTTCCAAAAACGTGTGGGGGTTTTAGAACTGGGAGGTGTGAGATTTATAGCTCCATTAATGCTTTTTCTCACAAGGTCAGATGGTCAAAAGGCACATTCGGAGACATTTGCATATATCCCAGAAAGGGAGATGTTTGGGCTCTCTATAGGAATTGGTCCCCTGATTGGAATGAACTGACATCAGACGAGGTAATACACAAGTATGACATGGTAGAAGTTCTCGAGGATTATAGCGAAGAACTTGGAGTTATCATAACTCCCCTCATCAAAGTGGCTGGTTTCAAGGCGGTATTTCATCGGCATTTGGACCCAAACCATGTAAGAAGGATACCAAACAATGAGATGTTTCGGTTTTCTCATCTCGTACCTTCACATTTGCTTACAGGTCAAGAATCCCCAAATGCTCCCAAAGGTTGCAGGGAACTGGACCCTGCAGCCACTCCAGTTGACCTTCTTCACATCGTAGAGACCCCCAAGGAAGAATTCATAGAGATTGAGGACTTGAAGTTACAAAGTTCTGCCACCAAGATGGTTGATATTAGTGATGAAAAGATGGAAAAGAAACACAGGGAAGCAAGAAAAGAGGATATAGTGAAGCCTGTAGTGGAAGATGTCCTAGAACTTAAACTGACCAGTAAGACGATGTACACCAATGAAATGCAAGTTTCTTGAACATTGGATTATTTGTTCTCCGTGGATATGACTGGTAAACTTTGTGGAAGCTGATTGGACATAGTTGACATCTTTAGCGTTCTGACTTACTCTTTTCCTCCTCCAAGGATCTGTTAGATGGGGATCCGTACTTGTAAATCATACCTTTTGATGTTATTATACCTTTTAACTTAAAGATCTGTTAGAAGGTTAATCTATACATTTTTTTATGTCACTGTAGCCGCTCGTGGAAGCTCCGCTCCTTCGTGTATATTACACGCTAAAACGAACTCCATTCCTCGGTTTTGCAAGTTCTGTATATATTCCCTCCCATAGCTGTTATACTCAAGAGTCATCAGTTTTCGACCTCTACTACTCAAGTAAGCATGGGTAAGTAATTACTTCCAAAGTCTCCTTTTCTTCTGCTGAAGCAAATTATTCTTGTTTCTTTATCAGCTCTCACAAGATTGCATAACATAATGGTCTTCATATTGTTGGGCTGATCATAATTTTGACAATACCACTGATTAGGAACCAATTTTTTCCCACTTTTAGAGCGACTTTTTGCTGCTTTCTCCCGACTCGGGTTCCTGTTTCATTTAAAGTTAATGAAGAGGATGCATTTTGAACATACCCCAGAGGCATTGTTTTGATGAGAATCAGGTTTTTTGCTTTCTTGAGTTCTCTGTTTTATACTTTTGACCATTCCATCCTAACACGTTTTATTTATGCAGTGAGACCGTTGAGCAGCTTTAAGTGAAGCTTTTGACAATGGTTACAGTCTCTCTCTGTTGATACGAGTGAAGTAAGTTGGGGAAAGGGATGGGGATGGGATTAAGCTTGATGCATGATGTATTGGCTTTACTCAACTCATGAATTCTAAGTTCGCTAGAATTCGCGGGTTTACTTCAAAACTACCACGGCTATAGAACTCGTTGTTGTTTCAATACGCTTTTTCGATATCGGTGATGTTCATAAGGCTATAGTGATACAAGTTCATGTTAAATTAAGTGCAATTTGAGTTTGGGATGACTTGTAATATGCTCTTCATAAGTTTGATGATTGATCATGGTTGAGAGATTTAGGGTAAAATACTAAAATTTAAATGATTTATATATATAATAAAGTGGTTATATCGAGTAAAGACAAATATAAATATAAAATTTAATTCAGAATTTCATTCTTATAATTTTATAAAATTTAATTTTTTCATATTGATTTTAAAAATAAAAATAATAAATGAAAAGAAAATTACAATTGTGATAAAAAAAAAAGGGGAAGTTTTTAACGAAAGTAATTTATTAAGAAAGATAAAATTAAAACATATTTATTCAAAATTAATATACATCAGCCTACTTTTTTCTTTTTTCTTTTTTTTTTAATAATAAAAATAAAAATGAATAAAAGAAAGTGGAAATCCCTAGCTCTTTTATCGGTGCTCCACGTCATTTCTTTTTCTTTTTCTTCTTCGCGCCGTCTCCTCTGTTTCAGCAGCTCAGCGTCGCCGCCGCCTCTTTTTGCCCTTTTGCCGCCTCCGTCGTCTTTCTTCCGCTCGTGCGCCGCCAGTGTACTATCCCCTCCGTTCGTGCTGCTGCAGCCTCCCTCTTAGTGGTTTTACACTGATTTTTTACGCCCTTATTGCTACTGGTATTCTTCTAATCTCCATCCATTTCTCTCTTCTCACCTGAAAAACGCATTAAACTTGTTAATTAATTATATATTATATATAATTTCCCCCCTAATTCCCTCTTTCTTTTCATATCTATTTTATTATATATTATTTTCACAGTTCTGCGCTGATCAAATTTATTTATTTGTTCCTATTTTTCTATCCAACTTCGATGTTATCGCATGATTTTGTTTTGTTTCATCCTCTTTGCATTTCCATTTTGATCGTTGTGTTTCTTACTCTCCTATTATGATAATCGCTCTTTAACACTCATTCGTCCTATCGCTTACTATCCATAATGCCGCAATCTTGAATTATCCGAATTTCATTTTTATTTTGCCATTTTTGTGCAGAAATTGATGGGTGTGATCGATATTTCAAACACTTATTGTCTGACTAAAGTGAAGGCTAGCCTTCCAGGACCTGAGGCATTGCGTCTCAATTGCTCAGTTGCGAGTAGAAGGAAGGGGGCTGTTTCCATGACATCTCAAATTCCAGTTGAACAGGTCCCTAAGAGTCAGCAAAGGTTGACTGGTGACTCTTTCATTCGACCCCATTTGAGAAAGTTGTCTCCTTATCAGCCAATTCTCCCTTTTGAGGTGCAACATGTTGATCTCTGCCCTGTTATTACCCCTTTCTAGCTAGCTAGTTTGTTTGCGTTATTATCTTGGTGCTAACCACCCAAAGTTGACCAAGTGACAATTGGGCGTTCCAATCCAAGCATAGCTTAATGGATAAGACACCTATTCCCATCACAAAATCTCGATAGTTCGATCCCCACCCTACAATTGTTAGACTAAATAAAACATGCCGTGGGGATGTGACGAAGAGTAGAGGTAACCCCATGCTTAGGTTAGAATTCTTTTAGTTTCTTGACAACCAAATGATGTAGAGGTATTCTTGCCGTACGATTAGTGGAAAGATTAGTGGGATGCATGTAATTTAGACACTTATGGGCATAAAAAAAAATGTTGGTGCTGCTCCTCCTTTGCCTTGTGGTTGCAGAGCACTAGTCAAGGGCTGATGTATAAATTAATGAGATTTAGATGTCTCAGTCGAGGTTCTTTATTTCGCATTGTCAATTAATCCGTTGGTAAAATTTAATGACATAGTGGAAGTATAGTTGCCAGCTTTGGACTTGATTGTGCTGATAATGACTTGAATTTCTCTTGACTTGAGGGTTTACTCCCACAAAACTGTGATGATTTATACTATAACTAGTACAGATGTTATAAGCTTTCAAAATGGTTCTAAAATTTCATTGGCTGTAGGTATTGTCAACGCGTCTTGGAAGGAAGCCTGAGGATATTATAAAATTAGATGCAAATGAAAATCCTTATGGTCCTCCTCCTGAGGTGAGTACGGTGCTTGCCTACATGATGATACCCTTTACAGAGAATCTTGGTTTACTGAAAAATTGTCAAATCTGTTTCATAAAAATATCACCAAGTCAGTTGCTCGATTCATGGGATCAACTGAGCCTTTCGTGGGAACTCTTGTGATAAGAAGCTTGAATGTGTTGAAGTTTGAATAATTCAGTGCTCTTATGCTTCTTTTTAAAGGAATTTGGTTATTTATTTATTTATTACTTTTTTGTGGGATATTGAACTTGTATGCTTTCATTTATTCTCCATGAAAGTTTGGTATTTAAACAAAAAATAAAAGAAAATAAAATTTTATCATAGGGAAGTTATCTTTCTTCATTGCACCTGCCAACTATTGTTTACTATTAGTTTTACATCATGCAAACAATAATATTGGGTTGTTAGTAGGTTCTTGAGGCATTGGGAACATTGAAATTCCCATACGTCTATCCTGATCCTGAAAGTCGTCAATTGCGGGCTGCACTTGCCATAGATTCTGGTCTTGAATCTGACTATATTCTCGTGGGATGTGGTGCAGATGAGCTCATTGATCTGATTATGCGGTTAAAACTGAATCATCTATGTCTTGTTTACAAGTTAAATTTGAATATTTTCTTCTTCTAACATTTTCTTCGTCTCCTGAAATATTGTTGTAGATGTGTGTTGGACCCTGGTGACAAAATTGTAGACTGCCCTCCTACCTTCACGATGTATGAATTTGATGCTGCTGTTAATGGTGCTCTTGTCCTTAAAGGTAGCTATCTAATTATTTATCACTTTTTTATTTTAATTTCTTCCTTTTAAGGAGTAGTCTTTTAAGCTATCAAAGTCACCATATTTATCTCTTAATGGTCTGGCATTTGAATCTACTTATCTGCATATGTTGCTTTCCTCACATACAGTTTTGTAATATATGTTACCTATGGTACTCTGTAGTTCCAAGGAACCCAGATTTTTCCTTGAATGTGGATCTCATCAAAGATACTGTTGATAAGGAAAAACCGAGGTGCATATTCCTCACGTCTCCTAATAACCCAGATGGGAGGTAACTCTTTGTCTGTATCCTTATCCGTGTTCTTGTGCACTCTTTGACCTATCTCGCTTTTTACACAATTAAGCATGCGCTACATGATTCGGCAAATCATACCTGCTCAAGAACGATATGACAATCAACTGTACTCTTTTCATGCTTATGCTCTAGATTACAAAGCTATCCTTGCCAATAATTTATTTCAGATCTAGGAGCTATTTTCTGCTCCACAATGTTCTTACTGGACACGAGATTCTCTATCCTCTAGAATAAACTTTGCAATTTACGAATGGAGTGAAATTTGCTATACGTGATGTGAAAGATAGACCATTTTGATTGATTTTTAAACGTGTTAAACTTTCAATTGAGTCATATTTCTTCCATTTTCTTAATCTATGACTTACTTTTACTTGTTTACAGTGTAATTAGTGATGAAGTTCTCTTGAAAATTCTTGAGCTCCCCATACTGGTTGTCCTAGATGAAGCATATATAGAGTTTTCTTCAATTGAATCAAAGATGCAGTGGGTGAAGAAATATGATAATTTGATTGTCCTTCGAACTTTTAGCAAAAGAGCAGGTGTATAATCTTCCTCATTTTTTCAACCATTTTAAGGACATTTTACTTGTTTAACTGTACACTACCAGTTTGTTGATGATCCTTGTGTTATCCAATTCTATTCTTGGCAACCTGGTCACTAGCTAGCAAGTAGGTTCTATAATTTATGTGAGTTCTTCAAGATCTTTGCTTGTAAAACTGCAGGCTTAGCTGGACTTCGTGTGGGTTATGGAGCATTTCCTTTGAGTATCATTGAATATCTTTGGCGAGCGAAGCAACCATATAATGTGTCTGTTGCTGCTGAAATTGCTGCATGTGCAGCATTGCTGAACCCTTCCTACTTAGAGGTTAACTTTCTCGATTAACACCTGTTGGATGTATTCTTTTAGCTTCAATGTTTACTTGGTAACCTCTATGGGTTGACTTAGTGGTATTCGGGAAGTAAGATACTTGTGGAAATGGGTTCAAGTCCTATGGTGGCCATCTATCTATGATGAAAATAGAGTTTTTCCACGACTAAATGTTAAAGGTCATCTAGCCTAGCCCACGGAAAGGCTATTCTCCATCAAGTGCGTCGAATGCCCCCACAATCTAAATCAAAGAGGATGGATCAAGGAGAAGTTTGGGACGAAACCAGAGTGGATGGCAAAGCGGTGCCTTTGGGGGTATGGCATCTTGTGTTGTGCCGTCATTTCGGATTCTCGGCCTATTTCGGCACTAGTTAATTGGGGTGAATCACCCAGATCTTGAATCAACTAGAAGATCATCAAATAAAAGAATCGTGAAGAAATAAAGGAAAAATTATATTGGTGCTCGATCCATTTGTAATATGAGCTTTCTATCTATCTCTTGCAGAAGGTGAAAAATGCTTTGGTACATGAACGCGAGAGGCTCTTTAACCTTCTAAAGGATGTGCCATTCTTGAATCCATATCCTAGTCACTCCAATTTCATCCTTTGCGAGGTTACATCAGGAATGGATGCGAAGAAACTGAAGGTAAAACGACTGTCTTCATTTGTTATATCGTTTTATCGCTGCTGCGCTCGAAGAATCTGTGTTGTTTTGAATGTCATCGAATTCGACATTCACCTGTTTTTGCTTGTGCCATTCTGAAAATGACTGCTAAATTTCAATGCCAGGAGGACCTGGCCAAAATGGGAGTGATGATTCGTCACTACGACAAGAAAGAATTGAAAGGGTATGTTCGTGTGACTGCCGGGAAGCCCGAACACACAGACGCTTTGATGGACTGCATTCGACGCCTATCATAGAGTTCCAAGGATTTGAGATTAATGTCACTTTGGTTAAAATTATTTGGAAGGATTTGAGGTCTGTAAAACATAACTGTCTTCCAGGTTTTGCTTTGATTTGGGGCTAAGTTGGTCGTTTGAGACTCAATTCAATTGCTTAAGGATGGTTTAGATTATGGTTAGTACTTTATAAATTAATTAAATATAAAATTAATACTTTAATTATCGTTTACTATAATTTTTGCAATTTAACTTCGTTAAAATGTATAGTTTATTTTATAATTTTGATTAAAATATTATTACTAAGAATATTAAGTCTATTTCTGGTTGGTAAGTTTTTAATTTTTAATTTTTAATTTTATGTTTAACCGGACATTATTTAATTTTTTTAATAATAATAAAATTGGTAATATGATATAATAAAATTTAATTTCACGATTAATTGAAATTTATTAATTTAAAATATGAGAGAAAAATTGAGAATTTAAAACAATTGAAATACAAATATTGAATATAGCGGGTTGCCATAACTCTGGTTCCCATGGTTTGACGCGGACACAAGAACTAGTCAACGTGGCGTATAAGCAACCAATTATTGTTTGCCACGTATGCTAGTATACGTGTTATCACTACTCGTTGAATTTCAAAATTGCGAGCTGAAAACAGCCAGGAAACAAATGAAATCCTGATTTGTTCATAGATAAATGTGAGGAATTCGCCGCGTTTTCTAGAACTCGCCTCCATTTTTCTTCTCCATTTCGTTTCTCCTCTCAGATCTCCCTCTCTCAAATGGTAATTTTCCTTTCTTCTTTAATCCATTCTTCTTCCTTACCTTCGATTCTTTTCTCCTCTAGGGTTTTGTGTTGCAGATTTGATCTGTGGTTTGATTTTTGGATTTTTGGATAGAATAGCACTTAGATGTGTGCACTGTTATTTAAATTACTTTTATAATAAGTACTTCTCAGATCTCCCTCTCTCAAATAGCATTTCGTTTCCGGATTTGATGTGATTTTCGTTTTCGATTTATGATTTTGATTTTATGGAAATTTCAGACGACATCACGGCGTTTTGCGGATAGGAAGGTTGAGAGGTTCGAGAAGAACATTTTGAAGAGAGGGGCCGTGCCCGAGACTGCTACGAAGAAGGGAAAGGACTACCCCGTTGGCCCTCTTCTTCTTGGATTCTTCGTTTTTGTCGTCATTGGATCATGTGAGTTTTTCCTTGCTCGCTCTTCGAGATTCTGATTGTTGAATTCCTCTTTCCTCTCTTTTATCTGCTTGTGCTTATATTTTGGCATATTCTGGTTTTCTTATCATGCCATTCGAGTTTCTGCGTGGTTGTTTCTAAAAATATGTTTAAGAATCAAATTTACTTTAATCTAACCGAGAATAACATGATATCTAAGTCCGCTCTTCAAATTCTTATGAAGACCCAAATTGAAAGATCAGGAATATATGCTGTAACGTTTGTTCGTAATTGTGGGTCGAAGGAATCATGGTAGCTAGCAATCCATCCATTTTTGCTCGGATTTTCATGATGTCTTTTTGAAGGGGGCGTAGAATAAGGCCAAAATTGCCAAGGATTCAGTTTTATTGACATTTTACTGGTTCAACAGAGGGCAATTGAACAATTTCCATGAATGGTTTAACATATTGAAAATTTGAATGATTGTCGATGATGGCTGATGAGGTTTCCTCCCAGCAGAAGCTACTGCGTCTTCACTTTTATCAATGAATTGTATACTTCGCTAATGATCTTTTGTTCCGCTGCTTGAAATGGGCAGCTCTGTTTCAGATTATCAGGACGGCAACCGGTGGAGGAATGGCTTGACCCATCTTCAGTTCTGAGGGGTAGCAGAAGGCAGGAAATGAGGTTAAAATTTCTTGTGTGATTTGTTATACCTCTCTGTTTTTTCTGTGCTACCCCATTAGGAGGAGAAGCTTGTTGGTATAGAGAAAGTAAAAGCCATTTATGGTCATCCTGTGAAGTACTTATTATAAAAGTAATTTAAATAACAGTGCACACATCTAAGTGCTATTCTATCCCAATTGTTTATTGTTCATTTCATGATCTCATTTAACTCTTAAGGTGCAATTCTTTTTGAATGTGAGTTTGGAACAACTTTTTGAACACCCGAGAAGCTCTCATTCTCAATGTAGTTTTCATAGTCTAAACTGACGCACCACAAAATGAAAAATTAGGTCTTTTTGAAGTAATTTTTGACCCACAAGAGATGGGCAGACGCCCTTAATACATGCCTGCATCTTTGAACTAAGCGAGCCATACAGTAAAATGTGATGATTCCTTGTGTTGGTCATCCAGCCCTTTGGCGCCGAGCTCTCACCACAGCATTTTTCTGAAATTTACTTGATGGTCTTCAAGTGGTGATTAGTTTCACCCAACTCAACATCTAAAAATCTTCTCTTTGGATCTTTTATTGATGATAAGTAAATTTGGTGTTAAGATATCCAGCTATTTGATGACATTTCAATTATAGTATTATATATATTACATCAATGAGTGTTCAGGCGAGTTTACGTGCAGTTCAACAGTTCTCACAGGTTGTCATTAGTAATTGATCACCATAATGGAACTCATTCTTTCTGAACTTTTTATTACTTACACGACCTTTGGCTAATTCTTCTAGTTTTCATGGTTTCCCTACACTCATATGAATCCATTTTCTTCATCGTCCAATCATAAATGGACTTGGACTAAGAGTGACAATGCATATAGGAGGAGACTTCTAATTTTACTAGAGAAACAACATAATAGGATTGAGTTTCAAGGTCTTGTGTACAAAACTAGTTTTGATACAATATAGTAAGAAACAAAAATGGGCAAGAAATATTTCCAAATCTGCTGTAATAACATTCCTTTGGAAGTTGAAAAAAAGTCTTTCAGTAGTACCTTTTGAAAAAGGATAACATCAAATGCGTATGTCCATATGAGATCCCACTTCGGTTGGAGAAGGGAATGAAACATTTTTTATAAGGGTGTGAAAACCTCTCCTTAGTAGACGCATTTAAATATGCAAGGAATTAAATTAGTCAATATCTATTAGCGGTGGAATAGAGCTATTACCAAAAGTACATCCACAACAACGCACAAACCTTCGAGAACCAAAAGTAAAATTTATACTTGAAGGCAAATGCTGAACAAGGTGCAGCTAGCAGAGGGATTGAAATGTGCAAAATACCTGTGGGAATTTGGTAAGAAAGAAAGATAGGCAGCTAGGCAGAGGGGTTGAGAAGAAGCTTGGAATAATGGTGGAACATGAGAGATAAGAGGGTGAGATATTAGCCAAGGAGACTGCCTGCACAAACCACACCACACACCATACACCTCACACCACCAGTGTGTGTGTTATTTTGTTGAGTGTTGTATGCAGGCAAGTCATCCTTGGCTACAACACCGCCCTCTTCATTCCCATGCTCCACCACTCTTCCGTCATCGCCCATTCTTGATCTTATTACAAGCTCGCATTGATATCATTGAGTTGATATAGAAGAATGTTAATTTATAGGGAAAAGCCAAGTGGGGAATGCCGAATGGTATTGGCATGGAGGAGGGGTTGGGGTTTGTGGCTTTGTGTTTTGGAATATATTCTGAGAATGGCGTCCAACACTCACCGCCCATGCAGCTGAGAGAGAGATAGAATAAGAACAGATACTCATTTCCAAAATGCCCATTCCCTCACTCTCTTTCCTCCCTCTCCTAACCAAACAAATACCCACATTCCCATTACTTTCCCCCTTCCCAATTAACTAACTTATCTCTTTTCTGGACCGACTCTGATTGCACAATCCTTCTCTATACCTCTTTTGTGATAGGAGCTTTTGGAGTAGAAGTATGCTCTAATATCTTCGAGACTTGAGGCTTCACCTGACTTATATGCATCGGGAGGTATTTCATAGACAACACATCGATATCCAACATCTTTGTATTTGAAGGTAAAGCTACTAATGGCACGGAAAAGAACAGTACTTTTTATGAAAGGACTGTACCAGATTCTACTAGGGTCGTGTCCTAATTGTTGTATCGCCACTCCTTGCATGTATATGATGTGATTCTACTAGGGTCGTGTCCTAATTGTTGTATCGCCACTCCTTGCATGTATATGATGTGATTCTACTAAAGTCAAGCCTTAACGGTTACAAAGGCACTCATTGTATATATATATATGATATAGATCTACTAGTATTGTCCTTGACAACTACAAGGTCACTCCTTGCATGTATATGATGTGATTCAACAATAGAGTCATACTCCAACGATATGAATTTGCATGCAAATGATATGAGATTCTACTAAAGACGTGTCCTCATGGTTAAGGAGAATTTTTTTGCATGTATACGAAATGAGAAATGATTTACTAGGGTCATGTCTTCATGATTTGAGCTTCCAAGATAAACCACTACCGAGATAGTACCCTAAATCCCAAATGATGTAAATTATACAAGATGGGTCGCTCATAGGAGGACGCGTCTCTTCTATATATGTGAATGATTGAGATAAGCACGTACGAGTTAGATTAAGAAAACCCAATGATCGAGAGAAGTTCAAATGAACCAAAATTACACTCATAATATGGCCAAAGCCAAAGGCATTACCAATCCCAATTCCAATCCTTGAGTTTCTTATTACAAATCAGTATTTCTGCAACACAAAACTGTTAAGGATATTTAGTAATAAATTATACTTTCCCGTATATATTATATTTGATATTTTATTATAAGGCAAATATCTAACATTTGCCTTATTACTATAGGTATCTTTCCATTTATTGTTATTTTCATTTATTACTATTTCCATATCCTTGTAATTTATTTGATTATAAATAAGATAACTTTCACACCATTTAGGTGTGGTGGATTAATCAAACATTCACCATTTTCTTTCTAATTTTCCCTTCATCCTTCATCCTTCATCCTTGTAATTTATTTGATTATAAATAAGATAACTTTCACACCATTTAGGTGTGGTGGATTCAGCAAACATTCACATGGTATCAGAGCCATTTTGGTTTAGCAACCTAGATCCTTTCTTTTCAATGGCTTTTGAAATCTTCTACTGTTCTTCTCCACCACCACTGTTGTCTTTGATGCCGCAGGGGCAGTCGTCATGGCTGTCACATGCAGAGTCGATTGATTATTCTTCGGCTCCACCTTTTTGACCTCCAAATCATCCTTCGCCATACTCTGTACATACAACCTCACCTTTTCCAAACATAGCCTCTTTCATTTTCTTCCCAATTTTTCTTCATCCTTCACAAAAACCCTAATCTTAGGATCTTCATCAGCATTCCTCTTCGAAAATATACAGAATCTCAATAAGCCCATCGACCTTCTGCAGAGATTTACCTTTGGAATCTGGGCGCCGCACTGGCATCTTCGCCAACCAAGTTGCCGCCGCCCTTCTCGCCAAAATTGGCTCCTTCGCCCCAATGTGGCGACTCTTCCAGCTGCCCTTCTCGCCAAAATTGGCTCCTTCGCCCCAATGTGGCGACTCTTCCAGCTTCAACATTGTCTTTGTCCCTTGCTCTAGGTTTCCCCTGCTACTTCTTGGGGTTAGACATATTCTCACCAGAGCCAAGTCAGCATCATCGCTAAGCGACAATCCCTCTTCATGGGTTAGACATATTCTCACCGAAGCCAAGGCAGCATCGCCGCTGAGCGGCGATCTCTCTGCAGTTTTCGATGGCCAAGAAAGTGTTTCTCTATGCCTCCTCTGAACCAGATTGTTAACATCTTCACGAAAAGTGTTTCTCAACCTCTTTGAATTTTTCAGATTCAAGCTTCACGTTCGTTTAAATCCGACGCTTAGCTTGCGGTGGGGTGTTAAGGATATTTAGTAATAAATTATACTTTCCCGTATATATTATATTTGATATTTTATTATAAGGCAAATATCTAACATTTGCCTTATTACTATAGGTATCTTTCCATTTATTGTTATTTTCATTTATTACTATTTCCATATCCTTGTAATTTATTTGATTATAAATAAGATAACTTTCACACCATTTAGGTGTGGTGGATTAATCAAACATTCACACCATTTATGAGATTCTACTAAAGACGTGTCCTCATGGTTAAGGAGAATTTTTTTGCATGTATACGAAATGAGAAATGATTTACTAGGGTCATGTCTTCATGATTTGAGCTTCCAAGATAAACCACTACCGAGATAGTACCCTAAATCCCAAATGATGTAAATTATACAAGATGGGTCGCTCATAGGAGGACGCGTCTCTTCTATATATGTGAATGATTGAGATAAGCACGTACGAGTTAGATTAAGAAAACCCAATGATCGAGAGAAGTTCAAATGAACCAAAATTACACTCATAATATGGCCAAAGCCAAAGGCATTACCAATCCCAATTCCAATCCTTGAGTTTCTTATTACAAATCAGTATTTCTGCAACACAAAACCATATAACAATAGATACACTCAATCATCATTAGAAACACAGGAACAAGAACAAAGAGGGGTTAATCAAATCACACAAATCTGTTAAATGGTTTCCTTCTATTTCCAGTTGGTGTCGAGGCGATGCTGAAGCCGACTGATCGTAAAGATTGGTTGTCGTCTAAAGCTGCATGCTCCATCCTCGGTGACATCAAACCTCTGTTCCTAAACGATCCAACACCTTGAGTTGGCGGAAACGACTGCCTCCTGCTTGATGCTTCGCTCCTTGGTGTACCTGGAAACCTCTCCCTTGGGTTGCTATGCGCTCGTACTTTCGCTTTGGCTGAAATCGTCGGAGTCATGTAATGCGGTGCCATATATGGCGGGCAGCTTACAAGGCTGTCATCATCCTTTAACCTCATTTCAAAAGGAGATAATACTCGTCTGCCTCGTGATCTCGAATCGCTGGAGACGTTTGACCTTGCTGTTGGAGGGGTTCTCGACCAATGCGGAGACCAAGCAGGCCTTGAATTCGAGAATGGTGTTGCTTTTGTAGACTTCGGTGTGGGCGTATCCCTACCATCTAAGCCGAAACTCGGTCGTCTGTTGTTGCTTGATGGAGTTCGCGGGCTCGACTTCTGCTCCAGCT